GGAATTGCCAAAGCACAAGCCATGAGAAACACAGCCCGTTCAGCCTTAATTCAAATGCAGGACGACCGAGCGCTGCGTGTAGCTCTTCTGGCCCGTCCAAGAGTGTCCAAAGAATATGCTCCTGGAGACCTTGTTGCTTACTGGAGAGACCAAAAATGGGTTAAGGGTAAGCTTCAAATAGGGGGTCAATGGTGGGGAACCGCAGTCGTCCTGGGTAAAGCAGGCCGTAACTTTGTGCTGTTGCATCGTCGCCAAGTTCTGAGATGTGCTCCTGAACAGATTCGTCCAGCTACATCCGAGGAAAAGACAGTCCTCGGAACTCCTCAGGCCGAAATGTTGGGTATCAAAGACCTCATAGAGCAAGGTAACATCCGTAGTCAGCAATTCCTGGATTTGTTGCCACAGTCTTACCCTCCTGAAGAATCACCACCACATAACCAACAGACTCCGATGGCCGATGAGGATATGGAAGAGTCAGATCCAGTCAGAGCACCAGAACCTAGACCTAATTCAGCCGCCACCACTCCGGAAACCAGTGAACACCGGGCTGCAGAGTTGACTCCTCAACCCGAAATGTCGGAACCAGATGTGACTGCTCCCGAGCCTTCCGAAGTGAATCATGGACAAATAGGTCCCAATGTATCCAACACTGGGGATAGTACCTACGGTCCCATTAGGCGTAGAGTGACGGGTAAAGATGGTCCTTTGTCCCTCTGGCGTCCAGCAGCCATGAAACAAGACGACTTTGTAGAGATCATGAAAGAGGTTGTTCCTCCTCTGATTGAACAAGCAATGGAGTCGTCTGGAGAAAGTTCAGGCGTCAAGCGTTCCTTAGATGAAGTGGAGTCAGCCCGAGCCGGTGAGCCAGCTCCTGCCCGCCCTCGTATTGAGGAAGCCTTGAGCGTTGTAGAGTATGACCAGCTGTGCGACAGTCTCCAAAACCAGCCTCATGAAGTTTTCATGGCAGAGTTTCTCAAAAAGAAAATGAGCAAAGAGTTACCCCATAGCAAGAATCCACCGTTGCTTCAGAAGAAGGTTGATGAGGGTAAACGAGTAGAATGGGAAACAATAGTGTCCAAACCGCATGCCGTGAAAATTCACTATGGCAAAAAGGCTGCGCAGATCAAAGCTGATCATCCTGATCGCTTCATTGGCAGTAGATTTGTGCTGACACGGAAACCGGTGACAGAAGGCCAAGAAGTCGATCCGAACGATTGGCAGACCTTCTCTGTAAAGGTATAGATGGTGTTTGCAAGGGCATCTGGATCCTGATCTGTCTGAGAAAGCTTCCGAGGGCATGCTCAAGTCACCCACTTTGAGCCAGCTAGGCCGCATGACGTTAATGCAGTTGATCAGTTCCTTAAAGTGGGATTTACAGCTTGGAGACATCCGTGGAGCTTTCCTAGAGACAGGTCCGAGAGACAGTCGGTTCAAACCTTTGTTTGCACACCAACCTCCGGGAGGAATTCCCGGCCTGCCTCCTGAAGCGGTCATCGAGGTCTGCGGAAATGTTTATGGTCAGAACGATGCCCCGGCAGCATGGTTCAAAGAGTTCTCATCATTTGTCACGTCTTCTGGTTGGACTCAAAGCAAGATGGATTCCTGTTTGTTTTCTTTGCGTGATCCTCATGACCCAAGCAAGCTGATAGCCCTAATGGGAGTTCATGTAGATGATACTGCTCTGGGAGGCGACGCCAGTCATCCATTGTTTCAATCAGCCTTGAACCAACTTCGTTCTAGATTTCCATATCGGAAGTGGCGTACAAAATCTGGAGAATTTTGTGGTGCTTGGTACACACAGATGGATGACATGTCAATCCACATGAGCATGAGATCGTTTGCCGAGAACATCCGGCCTGTGAATATCCCGAAGGGCAGCAATATTGATGATCCGCTGAATCCATCACAAATGAAGGTTCTTCGCGCAGTGAATGGTAGCCTTAACTGGCTGTCCAGTCAATCTCGACCTGATTTGAGTGTACAGACTAGCATGAGTCAGCAGTCTTTTCCAAAGCCCACCATCAAAGACTTGCGAATGGCAAATCACGCCGTGAGACATGCTAGACAGGAAAGTTCTCTAGGAATCACCTTCAAGCCTATTCACCCTGATGATCTCACCTTGGTTTGTCATTCCGATTCAGCATGGGCAAATGTTGGAGTACATACTCAGGCGGGATATATGGTTGGCTTCACACATAAGGACCTACAGCATGGTCATGAAGTATCTTGGTGTCCGGTGAGCTGGAAGAGCTACAAAATGCCTCGTGCGGTCAGCAGCACACTGGCTGCGGAGAGCCAAGCAATGGCCACGGCATCTGGAACTCTCGAATGGCTTGCACTGTTAGTGTCGGAGTTGCTTGATGGACCCTTGGTAGTTCGCGAATGCCGAGAGCGGTTGAAAAAGAGACGTCCTATCTTGGTGACAGACTGCAAGAGCCTGTATGATCACCTTCACTCTCCATCCTCCCCAACGTCCATCGAAGACAGAAGAACCAGCATTGACGTATTCATTATCAGAGAAAGTGTAAGGCTATTGAGCGCCTTTGTGAGATGGGTTCCAACGAACCGCATGTTGGCAGATGGACTCACGAAAGATAGTGGCCCACCTATAGACCTGATGCGAGCCTGTATCAAGCATGCTAGCTACCAAATCAGCCCGGAAGAAACAGTACTAGAATATCAAGCGTTGGAACGTGACCGTAGACTCCTGGAGAGGCAGAAGAGCAGATCCCAACATAATTCATAGTGTCCCAAGGATTTCACTTCGAGAAGTGAAGTAAATGAAATCATGGTCCATTGGTGGTGATGATTGTGAGCAATCCGCAGTGACCGTGTTCAAGTTTGTTGCATGCATTTGAATAGTAGCTAGCCGATTGCGATCCCTGTTTTTGCCTTTTGCCCCATGCCTGAGATTTCCAAGGAGCAAGTTTCCAATGTGAAAGCCTTGCTTGAATCAGCCCGTCGTGATGGCTGCCTCGAGTTGCTGATGACTGCCTTGCGTGATGAGCCGTTTCTCAGTGAAGCTGACTCGTCCGAATTTGAGGTGCTCTCTCCTCACAGTCTGGCTGCAGCCAGTATGACTGATGCATCCAAGCGCCGCGGAGACGACGGTTCCTTGAATGAACCTCCGTGCTCCAAGCAGCGTCCCGTGCTGTCACCCGAGATCAAGACCAAAGATGGTGGCAAGCCGTTTCCTCCAGGGGTTCGATCCATGGAAGAGTGGGGACGTACAATTCTGCCAATGGGTAAGTATGCCAAGGAAAACCTCACCTATGCTGATCTGAGCGACTCCACGGAGCAGGCCAAGCAGGCGTACTGCCAGTGGATGATTTCCCAAAAGGGCCGTGATGATTTGAACCCAGTGTTTCGCGACTTCATCAAGTATCTGCAGATGCGTGAGTCGTCAACTGGTTCGGGAGAGATTTGTTATCCTGGCAGCACCATTGTGCGAAAGATGCGTCAGTGAGATGTTTTTGAAAGAGATTGAGCCCCAGCAAGGCGTCCATGTGCTTTTCACCTGTGCTTCTTCTTCTCATCTATAACCGCTTGGATAGCGGATGGACCTGGTGAATTAAAAGATTTTTGATCAGTGTCGAAGCATGCCACATGTCTCTTCCAGCTTTGGGGTTCGACAGAACAGCTGTCATGTCGCAGGGACCTTTACGCCACTCGAGCTAGAAAGAGCCCATTTGCTCCTTCAGGTGAAGGGTCGTTCCTCCGCAATATATATATACATATATGATGGAATATGAAGCATTTATATATCCATTCATATATATATATATATACCATTCATATAGATGGAAGCATATTCATATTCCATCTATATAAAATTATATAAATGGATATCAATAGATAGAATATGAATGGATGTACATTGATGTACCCTCCGGGAATCAAACGTGACTGGGAAATTTCATATAAATGGAGGGTGTTTCTGGGAAAATCATCTATAATTGCATGATAGATTTTCCATTGCCACGTTTGATTATCGGAGGGTATCGAAGGGTAGGAGAAGACTCAAGAGAACCCCGAACAAATTATGGTATTGTCAACCCGGATTAAGAAACCCTGTTACCCCAAAAATGGTTTTAATATGTTTTAAATTGCGATGAAGTGTCGGTCCCCCCTCTGTTTAAAGAGAGTGGTGTTTAAGTATTAATGGGCTAACATCAGAACAAACATGATAAACATGTGGCTCATACTGTTTGACTTGGCACAAAAAACCATCTGCAAAACTTATCCAAGCACCTTGGCATCGGAATTCTGTTCCCAAAGCGCAATTTCCACCAGCACCAAGAATCCCAGGATCCATTTCAAATCCATCCGAAATTGCAAAAATGGATCAAAACCCCCAGCTAAAACTTGGCGATGGTCCTCCAAGACATCTTCCTCATCCAAGATGAGCTGTGCAGGCTGCCCAGGCACCACCCTGGAGTTCCCATGGTCAGAAACCAAAACCGGGAAAACTCCTTTCAGAAAACCTGGCAGATTTGGTGTGTTTTACTCCCCATGATCTTTGGGCAAATTCGTATTGAAACCCCTGGTGACTCGGGGTACCCCCATTTTGGGGAACCCCCATTGGAAAGTTGAATCTCTCTATATCCGATCTCCTTTGAATCCATTCAGAATGGCCAGCAAAATGTCCACCGATTAAGCATCCAACACAGCCATCTCTGTCGCTGCGATCCCGCAGCGCAGCGAACCCTACTTGCTTCGAGCCAAAAAACAGATTGGATCAACGTCGGATGAACTTTAATTACCCTCTGGTAATTTAACATAGCTATTGAAAATGGCCATTTATAGTGAGGTTTTCCCATTAAAAGTGGTGATTTTCCATAGCTATGTTAAATTACCAGAGGGTACTTGAGAGTGCGTCATGGGCCAAAATTCCGTACCCTGAGGGTTGCCAAGATTTGACCAGCCAGTCGTGATTGTCCCGAGCCATCTCAGTCTGCGCTGCTCTTCCGTTCGTTTTCGCAATCTTCCACGGCATGTTTTCACATGAAGTCATCCACGTCCAACTCCTCCCGTCACAGCAAAATGCATCGAAGTGGGTTGTAGAGGATTTTACATCGTTTTAGATGGTTTGGCGGGTTTGGGTATGGTTTTGAGTTTTGAGTATGGTTTGGGATGATATGGGAGGCTTCAAAATGGATGAAGTGCAAGCCGAACTGTAACTACGAGTCAACTGACAAAGACATGATCCATGTATATCCATGTCTACAATTTCTGGAAACATGTAGTGTAAATCAATCAAGAGGCATCAAGAGGCCATTCAGCATGGCACATCTCATACACTCTCTACGCCCATCAGCTCCTGGCCCTTCTGTCCATCGTCGTCAGCTCCAGCGTCGCTCAGACCAGCGTCACTGCAGCGGAGTGATGGTGGCTGCTTTATCGATCGATGGGTTCGTGCAACAATTGGGGGCCCTAATTCCGACTGTTTTCAGCATTAATTTTTCTCCTTAGAAAGGTCCATTTCTATCCATTTCTGGGTATACCCCCATTGAGCCCCATTGCATGACAAACCCAAAACGAGGTGTGGAAGGGACCACAACGTTGGCCTTGGGGTGTTAGACTCAACCCATCACACAAACCTGTCGATGTCGCCGATCTCGGGCAGGGGAAAGCGCAAGACACCAGCGATGCCACTGAGTTTCTGGCGATGAATTGTTGGAGATGAAAAAGAAAAAACGATCCATCACCCAACCAACAACACTTTCCAAATGTTGATTGCGGCAAGAAGTGAAACATCCGAATTGTAAAGAATTCAGGAAAAAACACCTTGTAGATCAAAGATCAGAACGGATAAAGTTTTCTGCCAAGATGTTAACACTGGCCAAACAACTAGCAAATCGTATCACAAATCACCCAACTATCCCAAAATGGTCCAGCCACGTCCATCATCATCTATCCATCATCCATCATCATCCATCATCCATCATCATCAATCCTCTATCTACCGGCATAAGACAACAACAAACAACAAAACGGCCATTCTTAAAGAAACAGCAAACAAATCATCCAACAAATCTGCAAAGAAATCGCCCAAAATCAGCGACTTTGAGGTCTTCCCTGCCGCGTCCTGCAGCTGCTCGCCACTCACATGTTGTGAGGAGAAGATCTGACAGGTGGCTCCCTGGGAGACGGTGAGGTGTGGTGCCGAAAAGGGTTTGATCTGTACATTATATATTACATAATATATGATCATATATGATTATATATTATATATATATATATATATGATCATATATGATAATATCTATGATCATATATGATTATTATATGATGCTTATTTTTCTCATAACGATGCGAATAGTGATAACGAATAATGATGATTATTGTCAGTTATCATTGTTATGATGATGATAATGAATCACCAGCATCGATGATCACAGTCTCAGTCACCTTGATGCCCAACTGTATCCCACCTGATCTCTCGCGTTTTCGACCATGTCCACGTACCTGCACTGCGGTTTGACCTTTTGCAACATGGGTGTGTCTGAACATGGGGGATACCATGGGATATCGGGATACCCATAATCTATATTTAAATATCATAGGAATGCCATGAATAACGGTGGAAAAAATCTGATCACCCAGTGGATTTTTCGGAGTTTTCCCCAGATCTCCAGACAAATCTCACCCAAAATCATCCCAGAGATGGCACTGTCTTCTCAGCTTCACATTCGCATTTCGGAAGAGCGAGTCCACCACCTCTCACTTTGGGACATGGATTCGCTCAAGGGATCGGTGATCCTGTCATAACATCAGAAGCGACCTTTTAAAAGGAGCAGGGTTCTGTTGAGCTGATCTTCGATCCAAATCTCAGACCCAGGGGCCCAGAAGTTCTTGTCATGTGTTTTTTTCATGTGATTTTATGTGTACTATCACATACTATCACTACCATTCACTATCTATATAGACAATTATAGACATAGATTGATGGTTAATAATGGTTAATCTATGGTTAATCAATGGTTAATCAATGGTTAATCAATGGTTATAATCTGAATCAGATTTAGCTTGGGCCATCCCACTTTGGGGTACCCTGGCTCTAAAATATGGGCCCAGATACCATGAGTGTCTGCACCGCACACTTCTCAATGGCTTCAAAGACTTGCTTGGGGCCGTAGCAAACGCGATCAGGCCTCAGGCTGTTTCCACATGTTTCAAAGTGTTTCAAAGATCATAGGACTGGGTGAATGAGTTTTTTAATGCCTGCTACATGTGCAAACTTGTGGAGAAACTGCAACGGATTGAAATGAATTGAAGTGGTAGAAATGGACATGGCCAAACACTGAAAAAAATCACCCTTTCAGTGGACACTGCGGCAATGCGTCAACCGAGCTCCAGACTCTCTCTGCACCATGACATAGAATTCTTCCAATGCCTGGCCGTTCAAAGGAGGTATGTACAGCAGATTGCAAGCTCTTCCTGCATACATAGGACAAGCATGCACTTCTGGTATGTGCCAACATTAGTTGCAAACAGGACAACTGACTAGAATAGAGTTGTTTTGAACTTCCATTGAGTCAAAGTTGCATTCTGTTTGATATACATTTGTGGGAACCCGCTGCGGCTTAAGACAAATACACTGCTGAACCGTGGTGATAGTGGGTGGTGCGAGGAAATTCTTTCAAGGGACGGACTTCATGTTGAGTTTCATGGTGCAGGAAATGCGGTTGACAAGCCTGCAGGTTGTCAAATGTCAATGACAAATGCAACAGAGAAAGGGCAACAAACGGCCCGTGGCCTTTAAATGTGCAGCGGCCTTTGTATTCGCTATGCTCTTTTGAACCTGATGCGACAGTTCGACAAAATCTTGTTCAAGCTGCTCTCCGAAGCACCTCAAAGCACCTCCTATACAAGTGTGTCCCACAACCATTGGTTTTTCAATGTTTTTCAACTAGCTCCTAGTGGCAGGGTCTCCCCAATGTCGCACTCCAACTGATACCCATCACCTCAGCAGCCACTGATTTTGGTTCCTACGCCAGCTACAGCCACTTGTTGCCTGCTCATCCGAAAGCAACTCCTTTAGTGCTTGCTTGTGCCTGAGCCCGGGCCGACCCCTCGAGTGATCATATTGGTTCATATTGGTTCACATTAACATGTATTGACATATTCTGCTTCCAAATGTAGACACTGCATACTGCATGATACCCATAGGGTACCCCTAAAAATCCACTGATTAATCATCATATACTCCATTAAATGGGTATACATGGCACCAATGGGTATACCATGGCATACCCAGTTTCTATGCTAACTCGGGTCTCTTTGCCCAGCTGCACGCAGGATGCGTGGACCGACACGAAGTTGCTCTTCTTTTGCAGCACCAAAGTGTCCCTTGGAGCACCGCAATGAAAGATGGATCAATGGCCAGGATCAACCAGGGCTTCTAAGCTGCAGGCCCTGATTGTGTGGCCTTCTGAATCATCCAGGACAAGAAGTCATCCTGTGGACTCGTGACTCACGAGCACACAGCCGCATGAGGGGATCATTAGTGATTGTTGGTAGGAAAAGATAAGACCTTCAGCACATCTACCTGGAAGTCTACTGGAAATGCGCTATGCAGTTTTAAGTACCAGCCGAATTTGGAGATGCTTTGGCAGGGAAACGAGAGCTGTCTGATCTGCTGGCGTTCTCTCATCCTGTTTCAATCCATCTGGTGTCCTTGACAAATCCAGGGCCGGCAAGCAAGACACACTTCACCAGGTCCAGATTCACATGGTCTTTGATGCCTTGGTAGACCTGGAAGCATCAGTCACCATAGAGGCCACTTGAGATATCGTGAGATCATCATAGATCACCATGGATTCTGGTGATGTTAGTCATTGTTAGTACCACTATCATGATGGACATGTTGGATATATATATATATAGATTGTTATATATAGCTATATAGCTATATATTGTTATATTTATATATAGTTATTATAGTTCTAGAATGGATGGTCCTTACAAGGACCTTTAGATCGACTGCTGTACTACGCATTGGAGCATCTTTTTGCGCCTGCTCGAAGAATCGCACCAAGGCCTTGTCGTAGTTGGTGGTTGTGGCCTTGAGATCCGAGATCTTCTGGACATCCGAAGAACGTAGGCATTCCATACACCATCATATTAGTATGTTAGATACCAATAATTAATGTTAGCTCGTATTGTATGTTTAATAAGTTTAATAGTAAATAACAATACAATCATTAATACAAACAATAGTAAAAAAAACATAGATAATCATCATCATCATCATCATCATCATCAACATCACCACTACCAGCACCAGCAGCATCTTGCCAGTGGGCGCCCACACGCGTTTCTTTGGCAGCGCCACCGAGACTCGGTGTACATCTTTGGCCAAGACCGCTGTGAGGAGGTGGAAATTCGCCAGACCCGCCTCAAAAAATGGCAATTCTATGGGATTTCCATGGGATTTCTGTGGAAATGATGTGGGATTTAATGGGAATAATATATATATATATACATATTAATGTATATAGTTATATATATATATATTATATATAAATGGGATAATATATGACAGAACAGGTGGATCCAGGTGGACTCAATTCATGCTTGAGAACATCACCTTTTTTCCTTTCTGGTGTGGGATAGTGAAATTCGTGCGCAGTGATGACTTCAGGCAGGCAAGAAAGTCGGTTCTGTAAGAGGAATTTAGCAGTTTGGCAAGCGTCCAGGCATGTGCACACAAAGATCTAAACCCAAGTGCCAAATATTTTGAACCCAAATATATTCAAGTATAACCCAAATATTTGAATGCAAATTGCATTCTAGATATTTCTAGATGATATCAATGATATCATACAAAAGAACAACATGTTACCGCTACCCAGATCTACCCTTGGCGCATCTTTTTTCATGTGTCCACCGGTCTGCTCGGCTCACGTCGTTCGAGCTCTGCAGCGATCACCTGGAGATGCTTCAGTGGTTTCCGTCTCCAAACTGGGGGGGCAGTTGAAGTGTTTTTGGGAATTTTAGGGAATTTTAGGCAAGTTGATGCCAGCTACTTTTGCTACCCTCCAGGTACTGCAGGACGTTCAAGGAGTTCAGAATTCATCAGAATTCATCAGAATAAATCAAATTTCATCAAGCATCATCAAAACTCTAAAGTCTCCCACTGGATCCCACTGCTAGTCAGTTTATTATTTGCATCTCCCACCCAGCTCCTTATCTCAGGCAGAACCTCATGTACCTCCATGGCATTGCAAAGTTCAAAAGCGCCTCACAGCTGTGGTGCTGCTGACATACAGGGCGAGAGCCAACTTTCTGATACAGTATAGTCATATAATGTCATATATTTTTTTTCATATCTTTCTGAGATTTTTGTTCACCTGATTTGATGACGTTTACCCAGTTCACCCGACATCTGTTCAAGAACATCTTCAAAGATTCCACGTCTCCGCAGTGCCTTGCAAATCTTTGAGCTCCTCTTCGGAAGCTAATGCCAGGAAGGCAGGATTCTTCGGTCCTCGAAACAGCTGTAATATCTTTCAAAATCTTTTGGGATCCTGCTGAAAGCTCACGGGAATCATGGTTCAATATCAACCGTATTCAGAAGCATCAAGTCTGTTAAATCTCTTGATCCATCTACACCCTTTTGTTTGCATAGTGTTTGCATAGTACATCTAATCGAATCTAAATCCATCAATCCAATCCATCAATCCAATCTCCCATGGCCATGGCCCGCAGCCCCATGGCTCCTATGACGCACTGCGTCAAGTGCTTCATGAGTTCCTCCTCCTGCTCCACCCGCCCCAGCTGTGCCACAGCCAACACCGCCACGGCCACACTGCGGGGGTCTGGGAGTCGACCTCAGCTGGAATCCGCTGGGATTTCCGGGATCTTCGGTGCAAAACATGTTTTTTTGATGCGGGTTATATGGATCTACAGCCATGATGATCCATGAAATGTGTGTTTTATATTGTTTTATAGGATTTGAAAAGTGAATATTCATGAACAAAGAAACAAACACTTTTGAGATGTTTTGAGGATATATACGCCCATTTTAAGTGGAAATCAATGATTGGGGAGTTCGAAGTTTAAGCCTGTTCTGCAAATGGGAGTGGGATGTGTTGAATAATTAATGTGGTCGACATGTTCTTTTGGCAATCAACACACTTTCTTCTGTTCAAAATAATCCAAAAAATGATAGAACATAGCAAATAATTAGTTTTGCCGTTCAGGCCTTAAAAATGTAATTTGGATGCGAGATGAAATGCATTGAAATGAGCTCAATCGACAGAACTGTGGTCCCCAACCAACCGATGCAGTCGCATCCCGCGGTGTGGCACCTGCAATTCCACTGCTGTATGGGAGAAACCGTTTCTGTTCTGCTAGGTAGTTTCTTAGTTTCTATCACCTCGTTCAGCTTAGCCCGGTATTTTAACACGAGGGTTGGGAAAGTGGGGACATTGAGAACAAATTTGGCAACTGCGAGCCCCATGGCGAAAAGGTCAAAACCTCGTCGCTCCAAATCTTCTTCGTGGCCGGCCAGGAGTTGTGCCAACAACCTGGCTGTAAATGGATAGGACGTAGTGTGGTTCTTTTAAAAAAAAAAGAAATGCATTGCAAAAATATCAAAGAAGTATCAAACAATTATCCCGGCAAGAGACCCAGAGACCCCAAACAGCGTGGGGGAGTGGGAGGTTAATTTATGATAATGTTGATGGTGATGATGACGATGATGATGATGAAGATGAAAATGAAAATGTTGCGGACGATGATGTTGAGGATGACGAGGTGCAGGAGGATGATGTTCAGGATGATGGGGTTGAGGATGATGAGGTTGATGATGATGATGATGATGATGATGATGATGATGATGATGATGATGATGATGATGATGATGTTGAGGAGAATGAGGATGAGGATGATATTGCTGAAGATGAAGTGGAAGATGATTAGGTGGAGGATGATGGTTATGTTGAGAAGGAGGAGGGGGAGGAACAGGAAGAGGAGGAGGAGGAGGATGTTGAGGATAATAATGTTGAGGAGGATGATGATGAAAAGGATGATATTGCTGATGTTGCGGAGGATGAGGTGGAGCTTGATGATGTTGAGGATGATGAAGTCAAGGGGGAGGAAGATGATGGTGCTGAGGATGATGATGATGAGGAGGAGGACCGATCCCAAGACCCGGACCCACACTTTGCTGCCAAGCTGCTGTGTCATGGCCTGGCTGGTGCTGGCTGTCAGCTCCATGGATTTGTGGGACTGCGCCTGAAAATCCATGGCTTCCAGGCACAAACCAAGCACCAAATCCAAAGGATAAACCGAAAGATCACCAAGGATGTAACTTGATGAAATATTCATAAATTGTCTGGTGAAACATGGCCACTACCTCTTTTCATGTCATGACCACGTTTCCCACATCCCATTTTTACTCTTGGCTTTCCCACAGGCAAAAGGCTGAGACAGTGCAGGAGATCTGCCAGAGCGGTGAAGCCTCGTGAAGCCTGGCATCGCTTCACTCATCTTCAATGACCATCTCCACCCACCAAGGATTTGGTTGAGAAAGGTGCAGAATCCAAACAATGTCTTTTTTGTCGGCTCCCCGGCGTGCTACAAATTCTCTTTACTCTACTGATGACCTCTATTGGTCGTCAGTTGGTCATCAAATGGTCATCAAGCGGTCACAGTCACATATGATCAAGTTGTCTCTATAGGGTCCTCATGCTAATCTTTTTCACACTTCCTGCGGTGTTTTTTTTTCCGGCCGTCTACTTATTATGATCTACTCCAGTGGGTTTCAACATGTCTCAACTGCCGGGAACAGAAATCTCCAAAGCTTCTCCCACCTGCTGTGGTCGCGCAAAGGCAGGTGGACCCACACCGCGGCCACCCTGCAGCAATTCGTCAAACTTCAGTGCCAGGGCCGTGCAGATTCGGCCTGGCACAAGTCCGCATCCAATTTCATGGTCAGGTCCATGGTACCAAAATCTACCATATACTGTACCATCATGGATGACTTAATGGTTGTATATCAACAATAATGGATGACTTAATGGTACCATAATGGAGGACTTTTCATGTTCATCATAAAATATGGTCCATTTTATTAATTATGGATTACGGTTTATCATATACTCTACCATAATTATGGATATCTATGGATTCTCCTAGCTTTTTCAACAACTCCCCAGCTGAGCGCACCATGCACCAGACGAGGCTCGTAGTAGTCCAGCCGCACCAAGGCGGAAAAGCCGCGTACCTCGGGTCCCGGTCATGGTGAAATCCATGGTGATATCCATGGGAAATGACCATAGCCACAAATGACCATGAAATGACCATGAAACATATATAAACTGTAATATAAACATAATATGATGTGTATGTGTATAATTATATATATATATATGGAATATCTCATTCTTGGTTTACATGTGGAATATCTAGTGGAATATCATTAATATCCGTTGGAATAGTCTCATCACAACACACCATGAAAATCTGAGGGCACCAATTCGGCCGCGGCCAACGAGCTGGCGGAGCCGCTCAGTTGATCTGCCACTGCGGCCTGGGGAAAAAAAAAGTCACCGGGCTGGTGAAGAATGTGTGGATGATAAACTGTAGTTATATACTGGAATAACAATTGATCAAAATTGATTCTAGTTGATTGTAGTTATAATGGATGTTAATGGATAACTAATACCTAGTCATTACCTATTCTATAGTTGACTATAATAGTTATAATATGTTATAATCGATATGTTCACCAATAATCGATTGGATACAACAGCTATCATGTCCCATTCACATGGTACCTACTGAGTAGTTGCTGGTATTTGGTTTATGTACATCTTTGAGGTTTCAACAATTGGCAATTTGAATTGTCAACCTTGATGATGCCACCCCCATCCCATCCCCCAGGGCTGTGACGATGACTGCAGCGTCCCGTTCTTTGCGGATGACGCGCAAGTCCTGGCGCGTTATAGTCCCAAAAGTCAACCCAGTCAACTCCCCATCCCCCAAGTCCTGTCAGCTGACCCCCATCCACCTGGTTCTGTCCTCGTCCATGCCTTCATGAAGTCTTGAAAGGCCATCCAAGAAGATCAAGCATTCCATGGCACCAAAACTGCGAGCGCGTTTTTCCACCTGCACATGGCATGGCGCATCGAAATGCGCCAGGTGGATTTGTGGGGATGATCTCATGGGGCCTCTGCAGCTAAGGCATCTGAAAGCTCCTCGTTGTACAACGCCACCTGTGGGGGCTGAGGCAGTTTAGGATTCCAAGACATTCCAAATAGTTACAAGCATCAAGCAGTGACACACTTTCCTGGAAGACTCAGAAACACATCTTCTAGGTATGGTTAAGTGTTCAAAACTCATCAAAACTCTTGTTTGATGGAACCCTGGAGCCCGAACCATGTGGTTCCCACATGTTCCCACTACATCCACACTACATCCACACTACATCCCACCACAAATGTCATCCCCTGTGGCATCTTCCCCAGCCTCCGCAAAGGAACGACACAGCGTCGCTAGTTCCGGCGGTCGCAGATCGTACAAATAGCGGGGCAGGACCTCTGCCACCTTGGGAAAAGCCCTAAATCTGCTGGTGATTCGGTGAATCATCAGAGTTATAGACAGTTATATGGGGGTCATATAGGACTATAGTCCATTTTCAGCCACATCCACATAGATCACATAGGATGGTCAGATTTGGAACTCCTAAAATCACATAAAATCACTCAGATCCTAGTCTTGCTCTTTTGATATCTTTACACGTGCTACGGTAATGAAAGACCCGACCCTTTGTCTTTCTCCAAGTCCGGCCGGGCCCCCTGGCCAGCGCAAACAGTTCGGGGCTCTGAACCTCACTGCAGGAATGTCGGAGATCCTCAATATGGGTGTGTCTGAAAATGGGACCGGGTATACCCTCGGGTAAACTAACATAGCTATTGAGAGAATGGCCATTTATAGTGGGTTTTCCCAGTAAAAATGGTGATTTTCAATAGCAATGTTAGTTTACCAGAGGGTACCCCCAAAATAGAAATGTTGATAGAGGGAACATGATGATCAACCATGGGATTTAGGTGTTTTCCCGTAAACCAGATTCCAAAGGCGACGACGATCTTCAATGCGATGGGAAGCGGAAAAGCAGAATAAGAGGCAAGGTCACAGAAGTGGACAAACAAACGGACGAACTTGAGATACAGATAGATACTTTAGTTTAATAGTTTACAAATATATCTATATATATATATTATATTTATATATATATATAAATTATATATATTATATATATGGGGGTTGTCCTAAGTTACTGTTCCCACAAAGGCCTCTTGGGCCGAGCTTGCGCCAACCTTGCGCGTTTCTTGCGCGACCACACTCCCGGATCACTTTCATCATTTCAGTTGTTTTTCATCATTATTCTCGTACTGGTTTTCGAATGTTAAATATTTAGTATTCACTTAGTATTTCGTACTGGGAAGTAGTTTGTGCAAGCTTTGTAGTACACAGTAGTACTGGGAAGTAGTTTGTGCAAGCTTTGTAGTACACAGTAGTACTGGGAACGACTTTGTGCAAGCTTTGTAGTACAAAGTAGTACTGCGAACGAGTGCTTTGTGCAAGCTTTGTAGTACAAAGTAGTACTGGGAAGTGCTTTGTGCAAGCTTTGTAGTACACAGTAGTACTGGGAACGTGTTTGTGCAAGCTTTGTAGTACAAAGTAGTACTGGGAAGTGTTTGTGCAAGCTTTGTAGTACACAGTAGTACTGGGAAGTAGTTTGTGCAAGCTTTGTAGTACACAGTAGTACTGGGAAGTAGTTTGTGCAAGCTTTGTAGTACAAAGTAGTACTGGGAAGTGCTTTGTGCAAGCTTGGTAGTACACAGTAGTACTGGGAAGTGCTTTGTGCAAGCTTTGTAGTACACAGTAGTACTGGGAAGTGCTTTGTGCAAGTTTTTGTGCAAGTTTTGTAGTACAAAGTAGTACTGGGAAGTGTTTGTGCAAGCTTTGTAGTACAAAGTAGTACTGGGAAGTGCTTTGTGCAAGCTTTGTAATACAAAGTAGTACTGGGAAGTGCTTTGTGCAGCTTTGTAGTACACAGTAGTACTGGGAAGTGTTTGTGCGAGCTTTGTAGTACAAGTAGTACTTGGAAGTAGTTTGTGCGAGCTTTGTAGTACACAGTAGTACTGGGAAGTGCTTTGTGCAAGCTTTGTAGTACACAGTAGTACTGGGAAGTGCTTTGTGCAAGCTTTGTAGTACACAGTAGTACTGGGAAGTGCTTTGTGGAAGCTTTGTAGTACACAGTAGTACTGGGAAGTGGTTTGTGCAAGCTTTGTAGTACACAGTAGTACTGGGAAGTAGTATTGGGAAGTAGCTCTGCACGTGTTGAACTTCTGTGGTTTCAGAGCGGTTTCAGAGTGGTTTCAGACCCCTTCGGGGGGTCTAGCTGACCTTGATGAAAAGAACAATTTACAGACAGAAAAGACTTGAACACAACATACAAGGAAATACATTTAAAGAGCAGATAGATAGATAAATAGATAGATAGATAGAGATAAAGCAGCCAACGCGGTCCGGAAGACATGCAGCAGCAGTCCGGAGATGGTGAGCAGGGAGGTGTTTCAGAGTGGTTTCAGACCTCTTTTGGGCTTGTTTTTTGGGTACCCCCAGCTTTGGGAGATGAAAAAAGAAAGAGAAAAGGTAGAGAAAGAGAAAGAGAGAGAAAGAGAGACAGAGAGAGGAAGAGGGAAAGAGAGAGAGAGAGACAGAGAGAGAGAGTGGAAGATGGAAGATGGAAGATGGAGACAAACAGAAGGCGAGAGAGAGAGAGAGAGAGACAGAGAGACGAAGAGGGAGAGGAGAGAGAGAGAGAGAGCATTGTAAATGGTGAGCAGCGGGGTGTTTCAGAGTGGTTTCAGACCTCTTTTTGTCCGTAGGCTACCTCAGCTTTGGAGAAAAAACAGGAAAGAACGGGAAAAGAAAGAAGAGAAGGGAGAAAGAGACAGAGAGAAAGAAGAAGTCTTGAGACGGTGAGCAGGAAGGTGTGTCGAACTGGTTTCAGACCTCTTTTGGGGCCGGTTATGGGGCTACCTAGTTCTTAAGACATCCAAAAGAAGGGGCTCAAAACAGATTGTACTTGAAACACATGCGGTCCGGAAAGATGTGCAACGGTCCGGAAAAGCAAGCACCCAAAACGTACTCTAATCGTAGCGATTGCGGTCCGGAAAGGCATGCAGCGGTCCGGAAAAGCGAGCACCCAAAACGCACTCTAATTGTAGACATTGCGGTCCGGAAAGATGAGCAGCGGTCCGGAAAAGCAAGCACCCAAAATGTATTCTAATTGTAGCCATTGCGGCCCGGAAAGACGTGCAGCGGTCCGGAAAAGCAAGCACCCAAAACGTACTCTAATTATAGATATCGCGGTCCGGAAAGACCTGCAGCGGTCCGGAAAAGCAAGCACCCAAAACGTACTCTAATTGTAGCCATTGTGGTCCGGAAAGACCTGCAGCGGTCCGGAAAAGCAAGCACCCAAAACGTACTCTTATTGTAGACATTACGGTCCGGAAAGACGCGCAGCGGTCCGGAAAAGCAAGCACCTAAAACGTACTCTAATTGTAGATATCGCGGTCCGGAAAGACATGCAGCGGTCCGGAAAAGCAAGCACCCAAAATGTACTGTAATTGTAGCCATCGTGGTCCGGAAAGACCTGCAGCGGTCCTGAAAAGCACACAATGGCTACAATTAGAGTACGTTTTGGGTGCTTGCTTTGTCTCTCCTCTCTTTCTCCCTTCTCTTCTTTCTTTTCCTGTTCTTTCCTGTTTTTTCTCCAAAGCTGAGGTAGCCTAAGGCCTAAGGACAAAAAGAGGTCTGAAACCACTCTGAAACACCCGCTGCTCACCATTTACAACGCTCTCTCTCTCCTCTCCCTCTTCCTCTCTTTGTCTCTCTGTCTCTCTGTCTCTCTCTCTCTCTCTCTCTCGCCTTCTGTTTGTCTCCATCTCTGTCTCGTGCTATCCTCTCTTTCGGACCGTAATGTCTACAATAAGAGTACGTTTTGGGTGCTTGCTTTTCCGGACCGCTGCACGTCTTTCCGGACCGCGATATCTACAATTAGAGTACGTTTTGGGTGCTTGCTTTTCCGGACCGCTGCAGGTCTTTCCGGACCGCGATATCTACAATTAGAGTACGTTTTGGGTGCTTGCTTTTCCGGACCGCTGCATGTCTTTCCGGACCGTAATGTCTACAATTAGAGTACGTTTTGGGTGCTTGCTTTTCCGGACCGCTGCAGTCTTTCCGGACCACAATATCTACAATTAGAGTACTTTTTGGGTGCTTGCTTTTCCGGACCGCTGCAGGTCTTTCCGGACCACAATGGCTACAATTAGAGTACGGTTTGGGTGCTTGCTTTTCCGGACCGCTGCATGTCTTTCCGGGCCGCAATGTCTACAATTAGAGTGCGTTTTGAGTGCTCGCTTTTCCGGACCGCTGCTCATCTTTCCGGACCGCAATCGCTACGATTAGAGTACGTTTTGGGTGCTTGCTTTTCCGGACCGTTGCACGTCTTTCCGGACCGCATGTGTTTCAAGTACAATCTGTTTTGAGTCCCTTCTTTTGGATGTCTTAAGAACTAGGTAGCCCCATAACCGGCCCCAAAAGAGGTCTGAAACCAGTTCGACACATCTTCCTGCTCACCGTCTCAAGACTTCTTCTTTCTCTCTGTCTCTTTCTCCCTTCTCTTCTTTCTTTTCCCGTTCTTTCCTGTTTTTTCTCCAAAACTGAGGTAGCCTACGGACAAAAAGAGGTCTGAAACCACTCTGAAACACCCCGCTGCTCACCATTTACAACGCTCTCTCTCTCCTCTCCCTCTTCCTCTCTCTGTCTCTCTCTCTCTCTCGCCTTCTGTTTGTCTCCATCTTCCATCTTCCTCTCTCTCTCTATCTCTCTCTATCTCTCTCTCTCTCTTTCCCTCTTCCTCTCTCTGTCTCTCTCTCTCTCTCTTCTCTACCTTTTCTCTTTCTTTTTTCATCTCCCAAAGCTGGGGGTACCCAAAAAACAAGCCCAAAAGAGGTCTGAAACCACTCTGAAACACCTTCCTGCTCACCATCTCCGGGCTGCTGCTGCATGTCTTGGCTGCTTTATCTCTATCTATCTATCTATCTATCTATCTATTTATCTATCTATCTATCTATCTGCTCCTTTTTCTTTGGATGGCCTATTTACCACCCTGGTTATCTATGTTTATCAACTCGAGATATTAATATTTAAGATCTAAATCAGATACGGTAGTAGTAGTAGTAGTTGTTGTTGTTGTAGTAGTTGTAGTTGTAGTTGTAGTTGTAGTAGTAGTAGTAGTAATAGTAGTGGTAATGTAGTAGTAGTAGTAGTAGTAGTAGTAGTGGTAGTAGTGGTAGTAGTAGTAGTAGTAGTAGTCGTCGTAGTAGTAGTAGTAGTAGTAATCAAAATGTTAACTAAAAATAGTACTTGTAATAATGATAACAATAGTACTTGCGCGTACCTTGGGCCGCCCTTGCGCGAAACTTGCGCGATGCAGGTTTTAGACCATGGGAAAAATGCGAGAATAGGTCCTTTACTAAAAACCTTTCTGGGGTTTTTGGACGGCTCCCATATATATTATATATATATATTATATATTGTATATATATATTATATTGTATATATATATATATTATATATTATATTATGAACTATAAATCAATCACTACAGTACTTATGTGCCTGGCAGATCCATTTTGCCACGTTGGCTTAGTTTGTTCATCTCCTCCATCCAGAAACCATGACAGCTCAGACCCGCACCGGCAAGCGCGCCTCAGAAAAGTGGAGTTGCTATCGCAGCCATATGCCAGCCATATCCAGCTATTAATAGCAACCTGATTCTCTCCTGGTACAGTATTCAAGGTTTCCCACTTTGGGGTATCAAAATGGGCCTGAAAACTGAAAACTGATACCCCCAACGGGCCTGAAAACTGAATACGTACCCCCAATAAATGGCCATGTTATCCTACTGTCCAGTATTATGACTTTCCCTTAAAGAATCACCTGCCTTGTGGACCAACAGCCCTCACCAGGCGAGCGACGTAGGCATCCGCAATTTGAACCAACTCTTTGGGGCGGAAATCTTGCAGTCGCTCCTCAATCAGTGGCACCATGGCCTCTGGACACGGGACATGCATCGCAACTCGAGGGAACTCTCAGGTGCTCAGTTGGATAAATACACTCCCAGTCGAACTTCCGCCCAGTCGAATGAGTTCAGGCTCCAAGCCATATCCATCCATATCCCAAAACAAGATGTTTCCAACTGGACTCATCCTGACCTTGTCCCAACATGTCCCAACCCACTGCAGGTTTTTCCAGATCAGGGGCGCCTCCATCAAATCACCGTCGAAGCACTGTGCCCTGCCACAGGCCAAGGCCATCTGCCGCAGGTCACCTGCAGAAACCGCTGCCTCGCAAGCAGAAGACTCAGAAGACCAAACTCCGTCAACGAAGAGAGAATGACTTGGAAAATACCAAGTTACATCTGACTGAATATGTTTCGCATATGTTTCACATTCATATCATTCATACTGATTCTGATTTATCTATTGAAGTATATTTAACTCATCGATCTTTTCAGGGTGATGCAAGATGATGTAAGCGTGTAACCAGTGCTACGGTTCACAAGAGTGGCTTAATGCTACCCTAGCGAAGGGTTGATGGCCTGCTCCTTCTTGTCATCGTCGTCGTCGATCCTTGTCATGGAAGTCGCGAATCACAACTGGCTGCCAGTGACACCCTGAAATCAACAACAGGTAGTATCTGGCTATATTCTCAGAACAATGCTCCCATGGATCTGTATAATCAACACGGTATCATATTATGGATTCATCGGTACCTATGGATGAAACAAATTGAATCTCGGCAGCTGTTTCTCATGCAGTTTTCCTCCGTGCCAAGGCACGGTTTGGGCAAGCACTCCAGCGCACGTGCCTCAACTCTCCATGAAAAGCTATGCAAAAAGGAGGTGACACCTTCCATATGGGGTATACCCCCAATTATAGCCATTTAGTAGGGATTTGATCATTAACCATTGGGTGTAGGGGTACACTATTTTCAGACAAACCCATATGTTGGCGTTGTCGGCACAAGAGTTGGGTCCAAATGTATATCGACCTTGGTCAATTGACGTCAGCACCTGGGGACCCCGCCGAAAGCTTAGCAAACAAAGGAAATTCCACCTCTCTGGGCTGGTGGTGAAGTCGACAGTGACTACATCGTTGTGAGATATGCCATATAGGTCCATAGGTGATGAATGTAGCAACTCAAGATTCTGTGATCTTCTGTGATCTTCAAGGCCAGCTTCAGGTCCTTCCAAAGCCGGTCAAAATGTCAAGTTTCGACATGTTTCGACACCAACTTCTCCAATGGTTCTGCAATGTTTCTGCAACAAGGCTCAGGAAACATATCTCCGAGGCCCCCAACATATCTGGCAGCGGAAAAGGCTGAAGCAATGCGACTCGCCTCCATGGCGAGTCGTTGTTTGCGACGCATGGTGAAACTATGGGAGAAAATGCTGGCAGGGAACTCTCAACCACCAACAGGCACACCTACTAATAGGATCTAGTAGCTATATATTATATTTATATATATATAATAATTATATACGTTAATGTGGGCACGCCAATCATAAACCTACTAAATTTTGATCTATTTGGGTATGGTGTATCCATTTATGGTGATGGGGATGGTGGCAGTGGCAGCATTCAGTGCACCTCCTGGAAGTTCAAGTCCCCCACCAACTGCGAAGCTCTGGAGGTATAGAGCCTCCAACGCTCCTGGCGCCATGGTTTGGTGGCCAAAAGATATCCCACCATCCCGGCCATCTTTCAATATCTTTCACGTTTCCTCCCCAAGATGTTAGGAAATTCTTAGGCATCACTTTGATGCTAAAGACCTGCATCTCATGAAACACGATGACACCGCTTGGTGGCTTTCAGATGCGATCCTCCCGAATACATATTGGAAAGAACATCTTTGTGTTGCAACCACCTGTGGTACCTATGGTATGTTGCTTATAAATATCCCCACTATATCCCCATTATATTAGCTTAGTAAATCCCCCAACCAGTCACCATTTCCAGACATCTTGCCCCATCTAATGGTATGTAAATCATCTTAAATCCCCATGTCTCAGATTTATTTTCTGGGAATTAACATGATTTGACAATATCTAACAACCGTTATCACCATTTCGCTGGGATTTATGATGATTTTAGTACATTATCACATATACTATCACCATCTAATAGTGTTGAATATACGTAGTTATCCCCATTTCAGATGGGATTTGCGATGGTTTATGTACCATTTCCTCGTGCCCCAAGCGTCTGCACCTCGCTGTGGTCGCCCTCGGCCAAGGACAGCTTCGCAGCTTTGCCCAGTTCAGCGGCCGCCAGGTGGTCGATGTCCTGATCCAAACTGGTTGGTGGTTGAGCCACCCCTCTGAAAAATATGGCCAGTTGGGATGATGACATTCCCAACTCTTGGGGAAAATAAAAAAATGTTTCCAACCAGCAACCAGCAAATATTGTTGTTTTGGTGTGAGTAATATATGTATGATAACATGATCACCATAGATATCCTTAGACTACTTAGATGATCATTTTAAGCTCATAAAAGTCCAAATTGTTTTTCATACTAGACTCATGATTTTTTTTGGGGTGGTGTTTGAGTTTTGCCCCAAAAAAGAGCCACATTGATGGTGTGAATTTCGACCAGCATGGAGCTCGCTTTTTGGGTCGTTTCTGGTTGCTGATCCATCACCATTGATGCATGATTCTACGACCATCATCTATGTCTTGTCACTACCTAAAAGTAGCTGGTGAATCTTGAATAAAGGTTTTCATTGATCAGCAGAGTACCAGGCTCCTCAAATGCAGAAAATAGGGATGAAGAATCATTCAAAAAGCTCAAAAGGTTGTACAGAGCCTATACATACTGGATATATCATATATCCTATCTGTTTCAAGCAACGGCAAAGATTTCAAGCCACATCAAAGACAAAGTTCTTTACCAACCATCCAACGTCGACCCCTTGTGGTTAGATCCAGCCTGCAATGCCACAAGTCGCCCAAAAAGGATGCGGCGAGAGACATGCATGGCATGCGAGGACGCAGCAAGCTGTAAGCATATTTGGCTCTAGGAGCGCTGATGAAATCTGACTGATATCATTTGCATCTCGCAGTACACACCAATGTCTCTGACGTGAGCACAACTCTCCCCGGTCTGTTTGGACAGCAGGCAGCCCTTGAAGCAACATCCTTTCATGTTCAGCTTGAGACAGCAGACCATCCTTCATGCCATGCAAAAGGGTAACTTTTGGCTGTGGTCAGTGATGTTGATGTTGGCGCGGTGCTGCAGCACCCAGTTTCGACTTTGAAGCCACAAAGGCTGCCAAAGGTCCACGTCACAAGTACCACACAAACAGGTCCTAGTGTCAAAATGATCCGGGTTTGTTTGCTGGCCATGGTGGTTGCTGACCCACAAGGTAACACTGCACATCCCCAATTCCCCTCGGCCAATGCCTCCATGAGCAGAACAGCAACCTGCCGGTGTCCCTAAATCTTGAACACACGTTTCAAGTCCACCATCTATCTGTCCAGTTCAGTTCAGTTCAGATCAGATGTTAGTCTTTCCATGTCTTCCCATGCCAGGTTCATGTCTCCAAAAATATACCCTACAGCTAGTATTTTATCTGAAGATCTGCCTTTAATTTAATTTAAATAGCATGTCTGAAGAATTATCCACTCATTCCACTGACCGTCTTGGCTTTCCCAGCTTTGCCTGGCCTCAGAGGTTTTGTGAACATCTGTTGCTTCATCCAGCTCTTGGAGGTGCATGGCGTCCCATCTCTCCTTGCCCAAAGTCAGCTTGTTGTTCAGCTCAATTTCCAGGGTGTGATGAGCTCCCATCTTCACCCATTGATTCTCCTGCGACTGCACTGATCGCCACGAAAAAACATCTGGGTTGGGTGTGAACTCAGAGCATTTGGGACATCAACTGGCAGATTTGGAGGAACCCAAATCAGCCAAACTCCAGAGCCAGCTGGATCTCAGCCCATCTTTTCCATTTCCATCCAGCAACTTTCCCGGATGTCCAGTAAGCTACAGGCCACACGGTGCACGTGTTGACTCTCACAGGCCGTGATCAGCACCTCGCGGCTCTCCATGGACATGTCATCGGTGGATCCAAGGGATGCAAGGGCCTGCGACCACTGTTGCTGCTGGCAACACGTCAGCAGCACGGTGTCCTGGGAAATCACATCTGGCCGTAGATCTCTGGCACCTCAAAAAATCACATCTGGTGCAATGGTTTTCCATGGAAAATTCCAAAAGGTTGATGTGAAGCCAAGATGAAACTCAGTATTTGGTTGAAGACTCTTGATATCATCTGATATCTATCTGATATATCTATAGACTATCATGATATACTATATAGATATCTATTTGTGGTTCTATGATATCTTCTTCTTATAGAATCCTCTGAGAATCTGTCAATCAGCCTGTCAGATATCGCCTCGGATCTGAGGATGGGGCTCATCTCCTCCAGCAATAGACATGGCATTTGCCAAGAACCCACCTGGAGTGCTCGCAGAAATGCTCCATGCTTGTAACTGTGGGTTTTTGGAACAATTGGAAATTCCAAATGTACATTACAAATATTACAATAAGTCCACAACAGTTTCCAATCAAAGCTCCACAACAGTCCTCTGAAAAGGTCCACTGCTACAGTTTGCCCATCCCATCCCCGCCTTCTGTGTAGCCGACAGAGCCACGTTGTACGTCACCACATCCGCTGCGCTCATGGCTTCATCCAGCAGCGATACACAGATCGGCCATTGACTGCCTGTGGATTGGGATGGGTCCCCGGGACAAGGTGCTCCATAGTTAGATTCGTTAGCTAAATGGATCTATATAAATGGTTTATAACATTTTAATACATTTTATAACTCCAATGTCTAGGGTTTATGGAGGATACAACTATGTCGAGTTAATTGGGTAAGCTCCATATAATAGCCAATCAATGGAGGGTAATATCCATCCATCGTTGTACCTCCACAGGATCCACCGTTGCCTCTCTCGCAAGCACTGCTGGCCGAGTTGAACGGCACCTGCGCGCAGCGCAAACGCAGCTCGCGCATCTCCTGCGTCGCTGGATCCCAGCGGGAATGTCTGGAATCCCACCCTGCTACCATCTGGTTATGACTAACAGGGCAAGCCATGGTTAAGCCATGGCCCTAATCGAAATAGATGGTTGACCTATTAATAGCATGGTGATTTTCCATGGCTATGTGACAAATAACCAGATGGTATATGATCTGTACAATATGAAACACCCCATTTGGTGGTGCCAAATATGTGCAAATCCCCTACCAAACCATGGTTTCTGAGGTGGTGAGTATGAGGGGGAACAGATCAGTGTTATGAACTGCGCAAATAAGCTATTGAGAAATCAGAAGATGATCAATGATCAGATCATCATTTTGGGGCGTCTTGTTGTGGTTTCACCGGCACCCACTGACATCAACCCTCTTTGCATCACAGCACTCCTTGATCAAAGAGAGTGCCGTCTGCCATTGGCTCCCCTTGGCCGCGACACTGATGGCTGCTCCGAAGCCTGAAGCTCTGTGGTGGGCAATGGTGGGCATCAGGTCAGTAAAGAGCGTGAAGAACCTGATAGAAAACAACAAATGTGTATATAAAAAATAGTACAAGTATAATATTACGTATATAATAGTGATGGATATTGATGGATAGTGATGGATAATGATGGATAAGATTGTGTCACAAGGTTGCTTTCACATCCTTCGATGGTGATCGTACCGTTCTCGGGGCTCGTTGTTATGCGCGCCAAGACGCTAATTTCGTCAAAGTTCTCCCGCCGGATGGAGCCTGTGCTGACTGAGCAACCAGTCCAACCCCAGCTGCATATTCCATCACGCAGGTTGTCGCCAAGACTCATTATTTATTCAAAATTCATCAGGTTCTCATCATGTTCCCCCTGAAAAAAACTCACCAGAGCCATGTTCTAAATGTCTTACATCCTGGCACCAAACAAGGAAATGCTTACGCCATTGCTTACGTTTTGCTTACATGCACACAAGTTTTGCTTACGCGCATATCTTGTCTTACGTGGAGCTTACGCTGGCTTACACTCACCATTTTTTTCTTACGCCACACCCTTACAAGGGGCCCTTCCTGAACGTAGCTGAGCCATCCCAAGCCATCCCCCTTGATGCCTAGCAAGCTGAGAGCTGCCTCCCAGGCCGAGGCAGTTTCCATTTCGCTCAAGGTGGCGCTGTAGAGGACTTGGTCCAGCGGCCTGGACCTTCCGAGCAAGTGATGCTTTTGCAGAGGTGCCACTGCTGGACAATATTAAAACATTAATACATATTAATATAATATTAAATCATATTATTTTTATAACATATTAACAATATTAAACAATATTTAACCACATGTTCTCCAGTGTTCTACTAGAGTCTCAAGGTCCAATGGAAAACGATGGCAGCCTCTGAAGGCTGCACAGCATCAGCTCCCAAAAGCTCGAGTGGCGGCCCACACGAGAAACCTGCAGATGATCGGATGATGGTTGGGTGATGGTTGAAACCTTTACCCTGTGGTAAACTAACATAGCTATTGAAAATGGCCATTTATAGTGAGATTTCCCATTAAAAATGGTGATTTTCCATAGCTATGTTAAATTACCTGAGGGTAACCAAAAACCCTCCAGAAAACTCCAAACCAAAATAGCCTCTCCAGAAACCAAAATATCCACGATCACTGAACCATCTCCACTATCTTTGCCCAGCAACAGTGGCCATGTTGGGCTGAAGACCCTGCTGTTTTGCTGCCTCCACCAGCAGCATTGCTCTGCGCCATGGCGCCAGGCTGGAAGCCATTTCCAGCCGTCCTGGAGGACATGAAAAACTCATTGAAAAACGCTTGATGGATGTTGATGGCAGCTGGCATCTCAACATCTCCATATCATTCCATATCAGCCTACCTTTTTTCCTGGGCTCTGGTAGTGTCCAAATATGTGACTCGTTGTGTAGTTTTTGATGCAGCTGAGAATCCCAAATGAACCGCATCTCGCCATCTCCCTGACGCAGCACTCGCGCGCGTGTTCAAGGTGAGCTCATCGGGCCGCAACTTCGCCACGTCCAAGTCCTGAAAAAGTGCGGATGCCAATCGCCAGTCACCTTTCATCGCGTTCATCAAGGCATTCCGGACATTGAGCTCCATGGACTCCATGGTCCCATCCAACATGTACAAAGCTTGCAGCCAACGACGTGCATCTGCTAGAGGTGAGAGGATTGAACCCCAGTTGATGGCATCAGCTTCCAGGAATTTTCGACTCATCAGCTGCAGCAGTTCCATCGAAAAGCGCCAGCAATCCGCGGAGATGCTGCTGAAGAGTTGTCGATCCGCTTCCAACTGTACCACCTTGGCATGACTTAGCCAAGGATCATTGCGCCATTCCATGGAGGGTCTGATCTTCGGACTTCCATGCGCATGTGCAACAAGCGAATAGAACTTCGCATGAAATCACTGCACTGAAAATAGGTGTCGAACTTCAGTGGATTAGAAAAAACAATAAGAATGACCAGTTCACGAGATCCCTAACAGCTCGGAAATATTTGACACTATTTAACCCATCCACGCCATCCACGCCTGCATTTGCTGAAGCAGAACCAGTGACTTTCTCCAGGGTGCACCATCCATGCTGGTGCTGAAGCTGATGACATCCGGCCTGACATGATCTGATCATGCCATGGTGATGTCGGGCGGTGCCCGCATTCTTCGTAGTTTGTTGTGAAGTCAACCGCAATGGTAAACATTCCATTTCGTTTCATCTCAAAGTAAATGTGTCATAAAGTTTCAAGAATCAAAACCGAACATAGCCAAACATGTCATTTTTACACATGGTCTTTTCACTTTTTCATGTCATGTCCATCTTTCCCAGGTACATTTTACAGAGGGACCCACCTCAATTCCATCTGGGGCATCTCCTTCAACAACGCAGCTGCCACATCCCAGGCAGCGGCAGAGAGGGCAGTGTTGCTCAGCGTCAAATCGGGCCTGGCGCGGCAGCGATGCCAATATGTTCCTCTTCGAATCTCAGGTTTCAGCGGTTCTTCAATACAGAAGCCAGCCGCATATCCAGCCTTCAAGCCCTGCTCCAACCTCAAGGAATGAATTTGACCTGGAAAACATCTATAAATTGCAGATAGTCCATCAACAAAGTGCATCACCCCACCCAACGCTTGCCTACTCTGTGCCCCGCCTAGTCGACTTCCTGAGATCAAAAAACATTCCCAGTGCGGTCTGCCACTGCATGTCCTGCCATTGGCTCACCGGGAACTGAATCCGAATCCTCCATGGCCATCAGTATCTGCTGATTGATAGATGGAGATTACCCTGTAGACTGCCGGCGATGGTGCAAACTTGGCGACAGGATGGAGTTGATGGGTGAACCACTGATCTCCGGTCTCTGAGTGGTGCTTTTGATGCAAAGCTTCCGGGAATGACCAGCGAATTTGATCCAAGTTGTGGCTTGAAGGGGGTCAAACTTGGATCCACAATACCAGCGGATCTTTAATCCTGAGCATGTGAGATTCAACAAATCCTCCCGGTCCAGCACGATCCATCTCTCTATCATTCCCCCAACCCCGCGCTCCTTCAAGCAAGCATTCATGGTAGAGCTGCAGGTGAACACATCAGGAGACCTCAACGAAGCGGGTGCATCCGCAACGACGCAAGATCCGCCATTCCCCCCATTCCACAATTGATTCAACACCATCCCTTACTGCAAAAAGATTGGATGTTTTAAAGTTTGAGTGCGATAGCTGTGAAGTGTCATGTTGAAGCCAAGAAACAGTTGCAGATTCATCATCTTTTGGAGAAAATCAAGGGCATGTGGCCACAAGCCATCACCACGGGCGCAGACAGCAATCGCTGCATTGCAGTGGATGACGTTCACCTCCTTAGCTGTATAGGCAAGGGCATCCAATAGAAACAGCTAAGGATCAGTAGGAGAACCAGTGAACGATTGTCATTTTCAGTGTCAATGTTGTATCACTGGTCATGAGCAAACTCAACTGCGTATCCCATGATGGTGTATGATGGTTATATGAATGTCGCTTGACCAGTGGGGACGGACTCTAAGCGCTCTAAGTTGTAAGTCATATCTGTCACAATCCTGCACCCCGCCAATAAAAAGGGTTCAAGTGACCAGCCAAGTGGCAACTGTCTGAGACACCATGAAGTCCAAGACGTCCCTCACATTCTCTGCCACTTCATTGCTTACCCGGGGTACCCGGGGTACCCGTGCCAGTCGTTTTAAGACAGCTGTAGCAAAACCTGGATTCCTCTGCCTCGGTCTCCAGGATCGCCGGAACAAAGATTGAGTCGATTGAACTATTTACCCAACCTGGTTATGACTAACATAGCCATGGAAAGATTCACCATGCTATTAATAGGTAAACCCAGGTAAACCATCTATTTCTATGGGCCATCTATACCATGGCTATGTTAAATTACCAGAGGGTAAACGGTTTTTCCTCTTTTCATGTTCAGTGTGCGAAACATGGTCCAATCTCTGTAGTTCTCAGTGCATGACCTTGCTGCAAAATGGTGGTTGCGTTCACACACAAATAAAACCGTTATCCTGATCAATTATCACTGGCACCGGGCTATCCCAAAACATTTCAAAACATCATATCATACATTTCATGTCAGTACAGCAATAATAAACATTAATAAACCATCCCCAAAATGTTAGTAAACCATCCCCATATATCCCCAGTCCATAAAGCAATGGTAATCATAAACATCAATACCCTCTGGTAATTTAACATAGCTATTGAAAATTGCCAGTTATAGTGGATTTTCCCATTAAAAATGGTGATTTTCCATAGTTATGTAAACGTTTACCAGAGGGTAAACCATACTATGGGTGTTTTCCACCATCCCAGCTGGCCAAGTCACCAGCTGCGGATCTCCTCCCGCAGCACCTCCGCCACCTCCGCGCGGATCCGCAGCTGTGCCACGATGGGCTCCGCCATGGCGTCGCCATGGCGCGCGGACTCGACGCCATGGCCGCGGCTGCCGGGGACGGTGCGGTGACAGCGGTCAGCGGATGGGAAAAGGTGGTGAAGAGGAAGGTTTCATGCTGGGATATCCGGAAAGTTGGAAAAAAAAGCTATAAAAACTAGTAGAAGAAAACTAGTAGATGCTTTTTTTTGGACAGTTTGGTTGAAGAAAGATCATTTGGGAGAGACTTTGGCTGTTAGGTGGCTGAAGCTCACACATTGCAAGCAGCGATTGGACCAATGTAATGTAGAAGCGACAGAGCCCTCTGCAAAGCATGAGGGGTGGGGTGTTGCAAAGGGTATGTTGAGTTGTAAACAAGAAAGGTCAATGAGCAGTCATCTCAAAAGCTGCCTGAAAGTAAGCATGCTTTGCAAAAAGTAAGCATGCTATGGAATCGGCAATTTCAATGGGGAAATCATTGGCCAGTGCATAGGGGGGTAACTTTCCCTGTCGGTCAGAGGCGTCCTCGCAATTCTTCCCAGAGTAGCGGATCACATTTCCAGCTGCATCGTACTCAATGGTCTTCACCTTGCCATGGATAATGTGCCATGGATGCCATGGAAGCTGCTGCAGCTAAGGCTCCTCCACGGTCATCTGAATCCTTGGTGATCTCACCCTTTTCAAGATTCCAGTTGGGACCAGAATGTCCAAACTGCCACTCCAAAAAGTCTAGTGTGTTTCGTTGTAGTTGTACCAATGTCCATCTTTTCGATTCTTTTCGTATAAATAGCCTCAGCCAGAACAATGACTTCTCATGAGCAAAAAAAAAAGCTGAAAAGAGGTTCATTCACGTGAAAAACTGAAGAAATACACCCCAATGCTGCCAGGGAGCTTTTTCACCTCCGTCTGGACTGTGCCCATGCTTCCCTCTTTCTGGATCTCAGCACATGACATCATTGATGACATTGTGAGGTCAGGATAGGTTCGAAGATGTGGCAAAGCCGGAGTATCCGCAGACTTCTTGTGAAAATATTTGGAGAATACACATGGTGCGAATTCTCATCCGGGTGGTCGACAGAGGCTGCACTGACACTTTCAGAAAGTTCAAACGCTCAGGAAATCCAGTGCCAGTTTGGATGATTTAATTACAGGAGTTGAGAATTCAACATAAAATATTGTGGATGGTATCATGCCATATCATTTCAACATGCAGATTGTCACGCAAAACTGGTATCTTATACCATCTCTGGGAAGGTTCGCTCCAGCCTTCCGGTACGTCATTGCCTTGATGGTGTCTCCCTTCCTTGCCAGACTCAACTTGGCAGATCGGTTGGTTTGTCTGAAAATGGTTGGGTTTTCCCCCAAAATGGCAATGTTTTCATCATTTTCATAGGGGAAAACATTGGATAATTATATATATATATATACTTATGATAATTGGGGAAAATATCCCATCTCTGGCGCAGGCGCTGGGCTGCTTTTTGCGCTCGGCGGCTGCGCTGAGCACGGCTTGCTTCGTGAGATTCTTTGAGACTCTTTGAGATTCTCAAAAGGGCACCATTGGTGACCATTGACACCAGGCTAGATGCGGACTGCTCATGACTACTCCTCACCTGTCCAATCATTCCAGCCACTGCCAGGGTTATCCCAAGGCCCAGTTGGCCCAGTGGGAACTTCAGCAACTTGGGAGGTCTTCTGTGCCAGTTGTTGGGCCTCAGCCTCCTTCTGAGCCTGCCATGTCCTCCAGGCTTCTTCCGCCGCAGCCAGGCATTCGTTACACACAAAATCCGTCTGGGCAAACTGCGACCGACCTTCCTCACCATGCAACTTACCAAAGGCCTGGGGCCAATCACGTTGACACCAGCCACATTGCACGGCAGCACCGGGATTGGAAAACCAAAGGTCTTGAAAGCGGCAATTCTCCACATGGATCACTTCCTGCAGTCCAGTGGCATCGTCCAACAGGTAGCTCTCCGGAACATCCATTTCTGTAAACGACACGCGCATGCGACCGGGTGTGCCACTGGACCTGCGCAAACTGGACCTGGAAGGAGCGCAACTTCGATGCATCGGTTGGTGATCCTCCAGCGGCTCTTCTGGAGTGTGAGGCTGTGGCTCACCCGCATCAGCCGTGTTCTGTGGGGAGGGCTCTATGGGAATCTCCTCCGTCTCCTCTTCCGCTTCCACCGCTACCGCTTCCACCGCTTCCACCGCTTCCACCGCTTCCGGCACCGTCTCCTCTTCCACGGATTCATATTCCGTCTCGGATGTCTCGGATGCCTCGGCCTCAGCTACACCAGGCCCAGGCTGCTGAGGCTCAGGCTCTGCAGGCTCTGCAGGTGGATCCTGCTCCTTGGAGATGCCAAAGGCGTCCTCGTCGTCCTCATCCACGTTGTCCACGTTGTCCTGAAAGAATTCCGTGGCGACATCGCAGCAGCCCTCCTTTGGCTCCACACGGCGACGTTTGCAGAGACCCACCAACTCGCTCCGTGACATGGCGACCATGGCATGACGGACCCAAGCCCGACTTCAGCAGAAAGAAAGGTGGTCAAAAGTTGCTGGTGATGTTTGTGGCGCAACATTTAGGAATTTAAGCATCCAATAGGCTGACAAGTTTCGGACATGAAGAATGTCCTGCAGTTTCTGCGAATGAGGGGAAAGTTTTGGTCTAGTTCACTGCAACCTCTTTGTTCTCGGTCTACCAGTACACTTTATTTATGTCAATCAAAACTACACCACTTGAGCCTTGAGATCTTGAGAAAAAAAATCCTCATACAATGGAAGGCATCTCCCAGTATCTTTTCACTTCTTTCTGAAAATGCTGCTCTTCAACCAGGTCCCAGGTGTCCCCCACAGATGTGCCCAGGTGTCCCACATGCTCAGGTTGTACAAATGCCACAAATCCTCGGACTCCTGCGTGAGTCGGCTGGGTCAAAACCTTGTACCCCTGTAGTTCACATCAAAATAGCTGGGATTTATGGATGTTCACCCCCCTAAAAAGTGGATTTAATGATATTTATAGGTATTGATCCATGGCCATGTAGAGGAACACCAACAAGCATCCTAGTCGGGAACGCTATGTTCAGTTGGAACATTTGGATTTTGCTGAAGTTTGCAACGCTGAGCTGCCATCAATCTGGAAGAAGCCTTTTTGATACCGTCAGTGTGGAGGTGTACAGATGTTTCCGTCTTTCCAAGGTACAAAACCATGCCACGTGGCTACAGCATGCGATTCACCCTCTCTCAAAATTCGCAAAAATCCAAGGACATTGGATGTCAGAATGCTGGACCTGTGATTTCCTGTGATTTAGAGATTGATTTCCTGTGATTTAGAGATCCATCAACGAATCCAGCCTGGGAAGATCAACCCAGCCATCAACCCATCTCCTCAGGAATCAGGGTGGCCTGACCTTTCCCATCCTGGCAACGGCTCCAGCGATGTCTCGCCGGTCTCGCGATGGTTCATGCGGTTCGGTGTCCTACATTTTGCACCCAAAAAAAACCTGTTTTCTTAAGTGGTTATTGTGGTTTCCAGTTTACAAATGACATCAAATGACCAATCACTTAAGGATGATAACTTGGGTTCCCCCATTTTAGGAAACTTCCAATACTGAAAATTAGCAGGGCAGTGTTCCTGCCCCCTGTATGTCATAGGTCAACACCAGGAGTCACATGCCAAAGGATCCAAATCTCAGTGGCAAAATGATACTTGGAGCAACCGCAAAAGTCCTAGTGCTTGGAGTGCTTGAAATCACACTTGTGCCTGTCCCCTTATATTGTTAGTCTAAAAAACCACCAAACAAGGCATGTGAAAGACCTCCAAGGCAATCACAGGAGACCCTTAAAATGTCACGTAGGAAATTCAACGCCGACACATGGCAGGCTGCCGCTTTTCCGCAGGTGCCATGAGCAGGCTGCAGCCACATTTTATGGCTAGCTTCTTATGAGAAATTAATACCCGTGAGGGATCACGAAGTGCCATGGTAGGCATAAGCAACAAGCAAACATGCCAAATTCATAAATCACCTTGCTTCCGGCATTCAAGACGCCGGCGCGTCTTGAAGCCCTATGGCACAGTCGTCATCCCCATGGAGTGGGTCTTATGGATCTGCAGACTGTGCAAATACCTCTTCAACGCGATCAGGCATTGGTTCTTCCAAGCTCCGCGACACCTGCCGGCAAGGCTGGCAACAAGGCAAGGGCAGCTGATGCAACTGGTTGCTGTCGACACTTGAAGAAATATGGCTTTGTCTGAAAATCGGGGATGCCCCCTTTCCTGGCCTATTATAGAAACATGATTGTCTCAAGCTACGATTTTGGATGTTTCCCAAGATGCAAAAAGACAAACCATGGCAAACCATGACAAGCCAAAATATATCCACAAAAGAATCATCAATGAACAACCCATCTCTTTGTAAGAAGTGATGGCGTTTTTCTGCCTCAGTGGCAACGGTGCTTGGGAGCTTTCGCCGAGCCTTGGTCAAGCAACTTTCAACGAAGCGTCTTCATGGTTGCAAGCCGCAAGCCAATGCTATCTTGTTAACAAATGTTAACAAGGACTGGACTGAGATTTTTGGGAATCGACGGGAGCGAATGGAACTTCTTGTTGAAAAGAATCTGATCGAAGGTTTTGGCAAGAAATAGCAAGCCTAAACTTCATGGACTGCTCGTGCGACAAAGGCAAGACATTGCTAAAGTGAAGACTTGGCTGATGCAAAAGCAGATTCAGAGCTGCTATGCAGGTTAACCAGCACAAGCCCTGTGGTTCCCTTTCGCACTGTGACCGAACTGGAGAACGCGAAAAGAACGCGCTACCAGAAATTAGAGTAGTGCTCCCTGACCGGTGGTACTGCAGTCCCCTTCCAGTGTCCCCCAGGGCTGGACTATTTCATAGATTCAAACAGGCCTGTTAAAGAAAAATAGGACGGTAGATAGTGGAAGGTGAAGGTTAGCAAAATGCTGGCAGCTAGGTAGATGATGTAGATGTATAGCGGAAATTGTATAAATCGGCGCACGGTCTGTTAGTGAGTGTGCAAGATAACAAGGACAAACGCGAGATCACAAGAGACTATCACATGTTTTTTGAAATGTATGATGAGTCAGGTCGTTCTTGGCAAACCTGGACGCTGGCTGACAAAAGCAACAATGGCAGTTCACCTTCCAATTGAGACATATTTTTTGTTCATACAATGGAGGCTGGCCTATGCTTGAGAGCAATACCGGAAAAGACATTGCTAAAGTGAAGACTTGGCTGATGCAAAAGCAGATTCAGAGCTGCTATGCAGGTTAACCAGCACAAGCCCTGTGGTTCCCTTTCGCACTGTGACCGAACTGGAGAACGCGAAAAGAACGCGCTACCAGCAATTAGAGTAGTGCTCCCTGACCGGTGGTACTGCAGTCCCCTTCCAGTGTCCCCCAGGGCTGGACTATTTCATAGATTCAGATAGTGGAAGGTGAAGGTTAGCAAAATGCTGGCAGCTAGGTAGATGATGTAGATGTATAGCGGAAATTGTATAGATCGGCGCACGGTCTGTTAGTGAGTGTGCAAGATAACAAGGACAAACGCGAGATCACAAGAGACTATCACATGTTTTTTGAAATTTATGATGAGTCAGGTCGTTCTTGGCAAACCTGGGCGCTGGCTGACAAAAGCAACAATGGCAGTTCACCTTCCAATTGAGACATAATTTTTGTTCATACAATGGAGGCTGGCCTATGCTTGAGAGCAATACCGGAAAAGACATTGCTAAAGTGAAGACTTGGCTGATGCAAAGCAGATTCAGAGCTGCTATGCAGGTTAACCAGCACAAGCCCTGTGGTTCCCTTTCGCACTGTGACCGAACTGGAGAACGCGAAAAGAACGCGCTACCAGCAATTAGAGTAGTGCTCCCTGACCGGTGGTACTGCAGTCCCCTTCCAGTGTCCCCCAGGGCTGGACTATTTCATAGATTCAAACAGGCCTGTTAAAGAAAAATAGGCCGGTAGATAGTGGAAGGTGAAGGTTAGCAAAATGCTGGCAGCTAGGTAGATGATGTAGATGTATAGCGGAAATTGTATAGATCGGCGCACGGTCTGTTAGTGAGTGTGCAAGATAACAAGGACAAACGCGAGATCACAAGAGACAATCACATGTTATTTGAAATGTATGATGAGTCAGGTCGTTCTTGGCAAACCTGGACGCTGGCTGACAAAAGCAACAATGGCAGTTCACCTGGCCTATGCTTGAGCAATACCGGAAAAGACATTGCTAAAGTGAAGACTTGGCTGATGCAAAAGCAGATTCAGAGCTGCTATGCAGGTTAACCAGCACAAGCCCTGTGGTTCCCTTTCGCACTGTGACCGAACTGGAGAACGCGAAAAGAACGCGCTACCAGCAATTAGAGTAGTGTTTCATGCTCACTTGCAGGAATTGCAGATCACTGCAAACATCATGAAACCACTGTCTTCTCTGCGGACTTCTTTCAACATACTTCAAGTGAACTGGTGCCTAGGACACTTTGGCGAGGCAATCTCTTAGCAGTGGACCAGGATCCATGGTGAGCTACCATCCTGGAAACGCGGCAGCTGACATCTGACGACCATCCAAGGGGTATGGGTAGGTCATGTTTGGCATGTTTTGACATGTTTTGACCTATAATTTTTGTGACCAACCTTTTGACCAAAGCTTCTGATTTTGGACATCCGCTGAGGGTCTGCTTCGTCAAACATCCAACAGCGACCTTTGCCAGGAGAGTCTCATGAACATGTTGTGACAGGTTCATCGATCAAACCAATGCACGTTCCCGTTGGTTGTCGGACTGTTCTTTGGTACTGATCCAACTTACTAGCTTGAATAATCTTCAATGTAGTTGCTATCTAATAGCTAGAGAGAGAGAGGAAGAGAGAGAGAGAGAGAGATAGATAGATAGATAGATCGGTAGATAGATCGATAGATAAGATAGATAAGATAGATAAGATAGATAAGATAGATAAGATAGATAAGATAAGATAAGATAGGATAGGATAAGATAAGATAAGATAAGATAGATAAGACAGATAAGATAGATAAGATAGATAAGACAGATAAGATAGATAAGATAGATAAGATAGATATAGATAAGGTGGATAAGATAAGATAAGATAAGATCAGATAAGATAAGATAGGATAAGATAAGATGAGATAAGATAAGATAGAAAGATAGATCGATCGATAGATCGATAGATAGATAGATGTGCGATAATCAATAAATGTCAATCCCTTGCCCATGAAGTTTGCTGCCCCAATCTCCTGCAATTGCCGGAAGACCAACCCTTCGCCTTTCGCCACCAATCGCACATGGAAGGCCGGGCTGAAGGCAGTCGCCAGCTCCTGCCGTGGCATGTTTGGACTATTGGACATATGGATGAATCATGAATAAATTAATAATGAATACATCATGAATAAATCATGGTTTATATACATATATAGATATATACATTTGATCTACCCCCGGGGCAGTAACAGTGAGCACAAGCCAGGGGCACAAAATGAGCACCAGCCAAATGCAGAAAATAAGGGTCTAATCTGGTGATATGATACGGATAAATTCTTATACCAAAACCAAACAATGGATCAGGTAGACACCATGAATATGTAAATCATCAAATGGTTGAAAAAATGTTTCATGTGAATCGGAAGGAATCAAGCTGCACAGGTGTATGTTTCTCTCTTCTCGGCTCTGGTTGCTACAGATTTGCTAGGAACTGGCCAACTTATCACCAACATTCCGTTGGAAACCTTACCAATTCTTAGTAACTACGACAGCTTAGCAATGTGACAACTAGCAACAATAACAACAACCGCCCCCCACCAGCGAGAGCACCACCACGACCACTACAACCAGCAGTACCAGCAGCGGCAGCAGCAGCAGCACCACCACCACCACAACAACCACCACCACCAAACGCAAGGGTGGGGGGTTGGGGCTGGGCCTGGGGCTGGGCTTGGCTGGGCTGGGGTGCTGGGGGCTGGTGTGGTTGGGTTGGGCCTGGGGGCGCTGGGGCTGGGGCTGGGCGTGGCGCTGGGGCTGGGGCTGGGGCTGGGGCTGGCGCAGTTGACTTTTTTGGTTTTACTGTTTTCGTTTTTTTGTGCTCGGCTGGTGCTCAAATTGTGCCCGGCTGGTGCTCAAATTGTGCTCGGCTGGTGCTCAAATTGTGCTCGGCTGGTGCTCAAATTGTGCTCGGCTGGTGCTCAAATTGTGCTCGGCTGGTGCTCAAATTGTGGTGCTCAAATTGTGCTGGCTGGTGCTCAAATTGTGCTCGGCTGGTGCTCAAATTGTGCTCGGCTGGTGCTCAAATTGTGCTCGGCTGGTGCTCAAATTGTGCTCGGCTGGTGCTCAAATTGTGCTCGGCTGGTGCTCAAATTGTGCCCGGCTGGTGCTCAAATTGTGCTCGGCTGGTGCTCAAATTGTGCTCGGCTGGTGCTCAAATTGTGCTCGGCTGGTGCTCAAATTGTGCTCGGCTGGTGCTCAAATTGTGCTCGCTGGTGCTCAAATTGTGCTCGGCTGGTGCTCAAATTGTGCTCGGCTGGTGCTCAAATTGTGCTCGGCTGGTGCTCGAATTGTGTTCGGCTGGTGCTCGAATTGTGCTTTTCTTGTGGTCCCTCAGCTGCTTTGCATTGATTTTTGGTCATTTCTGATTTGCCCAGGTGCCGGTGCTCAAATTGTGCTCGGCTGGTGCTCAAATTGTGCTCGGCTGGTGCTCAAATTGTGCTCGGCTGGTGCTCAAATTGTGCTCGGCTGGTGCTCAAATTGTGCTCGGCTGGTGCTCAAATTGTGCCCAGCTGGTGCTCAAATTGTGCTCGGCTGGTGCTCAAATTGTGCCCGGCTGGTGCTCAAATTGTGCTCGGCTGGTGCTCAAATTGTGCTCGGCTGGTGCTCAAATTGTGCCCGGCTGGTGCTCAAATTGTGCTCGGCTGGTGCTCAAATTGTGCTCGGCTGGTGCTCAAATTGTGCTCGGCTGGTGCTCAAATTGTGCTCGGCTGGTGCTCAAATTGTGCTCGGCTGGTGCTCGAATTGTGCTCGGCTGGTGCTCAAATTGTGCTCGGCTGGTGCTCAAATTGTGCTTTTCTTGTGGTCCCTCTGGTGCTCGTTTTGTCGTCCCTTTGGACCTTTCCTTGCCCGGGCTAGTTTTTTTCATTTTTTTCGCAATTATTTTTGCAGTCTCCTTGTGCTTTTTTTGTGCTTTTTTTTGTGCTTTTTTTGTGCTTTTTTTGGTGCTTTTTTCTGTGTTGTTTAATGTTTTTTTTTGTGTTTTTTTTGTGCTCTTTTTGTGTCTAGCTTGTGCTGGTTTTGGCGGTTGGTACTTACGCGTCAATGAAGTTTTGCGATTTAGGGTTCGAATGGGCTCGGGGTTTAGAATTTAAAGTTTAGGATGGATGCCAAGTATATAACATTTCCATTTTCCCACATGGCCAATCTGACTCCATGGTTGAGCACATTACGGTGCATTGTGCCAGTTGCATCAAGCGGCCAAATCCTTTCACAATATGTTCTAGTCCTTGCTTCGATGCAGACGCCTTGCTCGCACCTTCTCAGGGTAACACATGAATGTATTGTCTGTAGTCTGCGCTCTTCTTTTCTCAATGTTGGAATGCAACTGATATGCTTGAAAGATCTTGAAAGTGAAGCCCCTGTCTTGAATTCTGAATTCTGTATCAGAGGTTTGGAGGGCAGGTTGACGTTTTTTTTGGGGCACCTCCTAGCCGAGATTTTTGGAGCAATTTCCTTGTGCTCGTTTTGAAAGGGTAGGTTAAAGGAAAATCATTTATCTGCTGTTACTGGGCGGGGGGTAGATCGAATATATACACAATTACATAATATTACATACACATCTCCTGGTGATGCCTGATGGATTTTAATATAAATCCTGGAGAAATGCATTCATCGATTTTCAAGCCATGGGCCATCTCACCAATGCTCGACACTTCCCGTATCGGTCAAAACGCCTGACGTAGAGAATCTTTCCGGCCACCACGTAATCTGGCATTCAGCAGGATGAAACACGTCTTGCTATCCACCTACCCAGGGATCAGACAAACCATGTGTCAGTCATGCTGGCTTTGCCAATTCCAGTTCTGAGGAAGCAAATATCCTCTGCAAAATCCCAGGTGACAGGTACCCATCAAATTGGGAGAGTCCTGTCAGGCGTTGTGTGCCCTAAAAAAATGGTTTCCCGTGCTTCCGTTCAACGGACAAAGAGAAAGCTATGGTAATGTCATGCAATGTCCTTTTTTGTGATCCCATCTTTATACCATGATCTGGTCGTCGCAAGGATCAGGAATTTGCACCCCAGAGATTGCATCCATAGGTGCATTGTTCTCGGGTGATGCCAACAAATCGATCCGTTTGGGTGATGCGAATCTTTTGGCCACCCGTAAAGCCGGTGGAAAATTTTCTGAGCCACAGCTGTTCCAAGGCTTGGCGACGGTTCAAGACGATCACCAGCACCTTTGCATCTTCACACTTCAGTCGAAACAATCTGAAAGCTGCAAGTCGGCGATTGTCCAGAGAATAGAAGCGATGTCGAAACCAATAGATGCTCTCTGGTCTCACATCACTGGAACGAATGCTTCCTTCGCACAAAGCTGCCGCCAAACCCAAGATGTGCTCCGGCCCTCCAGCCACGGGTGGTGCCCGAAACTTCCGACTACAAGCCGCCTGGCTGAAACCCAGGTCCAAGGGATCTAGGTCACCTGGCACAGATTTTTTGAGGACGGACTTATAATTGTGAAGACATGATTAGTGGGCTGCCATGCAACACTATCTATATCTAATGCATTTTTCTCCATAATTTCATCATCCCAGATTTTAGTTCCAGTGTCTTCTCTGCTTACTTTGGGGCACCAAGATTTTAGCCGCGAACCTTGGTGACCTGGGGGCCACATTTGATTGGGCCATGGCGGTTCTGCTTCAATCTCCTCGGCAACTCGGTCCTCCGCCTCACCCAAATATGCCGAGGGCGCAGCCAGCACACCACGTCGGGCTAAAAGACGAGCGTTCCTGGTGTTGCAACAGGCGTGGAAATGGAATGAGGGAATTGGGGAATAACATGGAACTGAAAATTATTCAACGTCATACAACCAAGACCAAGACTGCAAATTGTTTAATATGTAAACCTCTTATGAAGTCAGCTGCAAGATTCTGGATCGCTTGAGCAGCCTCCGGTGATGCGAGATCATGTCGAAGCACGAAGGTGATCTCCCGCATCAGCTCATCAAGTCTCCGAAGCGTCCGGGTCACAAGTCCTTCTCCGCCAATGGCCACGCGACTGCTAAGCACTGCAGATGTGAAGTCCTGTCCTGACGCCCACTGTAAGGCTGTCTCGCAAAGCTGAGGGTTGATACGAGCCTTGATCATTGGCTCACCATCGCAAACAGCCATGGGCTTTAGCAATCCACAATTGCTGCAACATGGAAGCTGATGGGAATGGAGCTTGGAGGCTAACCTCTGCGCCACCTTGCGACAAGTTTCAAGGCCAGAACGGACAGCTGCGTCAGAGACCCCCTTCAGCGCTCATTGTATGGGCCTTCACAAAGGCGGCACAAATGGCAAAGGCTTGAGCTGTAATGATGACATTAGCCACAAGCAAGGCATCTTCAGGCACGAACAAATGGCAGGCCATCGTCCCTTTTGGAAGAGGTGCACCTGACTGATCTATGAAATCGAGTTCCTGCAGAACTTCTACCATTCGAGTTGCCTCTTCTTGTAACGACATGGCAGCCTCTGGTTCTGTGAACCTCTGCAAGCTCCGCCGTAGCATGGTGTAGAGATGAGCTGGGCCAGCTGAAATCAGATGAAGAAGAGAAGACCACCGGACTCGATAACAGCTTTCGACTGCAGAAGGCTCTTCCGTGTAGACCTTGGTCAACGTCTCTGCCGCTGGCTGTTTCATGATCCTGTCACTATGCAACATGACATAGACATGGCCCTCCCGATCCAATCCCCGGCGCCCTGCTCGGCCGGACATTTGCCGAAACTCACCGGCGTTCAACACGCGCCGAGCACGACCATCAAACTTCACCACATCTGTGAAGATCACGGACCTGGCCGGCATATTCAAGCCAATGGCAAAGGTCTCTGTGGCGAAGATCACCGGCAAAAGGCCATCTGCAAATAGCAACTCCACCATTTCACGAAGAAGTGGAAGCCTCTGGCATGCTGCAGACTGCACGGTACTCAAAACATTTCTGAAATGGGAAAACATCTCTGACATGCGAACATGTCTCTGTGAATCTGACCATTCAAGTCACATGTCAGCTCTTTCTGGCCTGATCTTTGAAGAAGCTATTAGTAATATACACATGTCATCACATGTCACATACATGTCACATGTCATATGTTTGCATGCCGCAATTGAGGCACCGACATGCCGCCATGGTGAACACCGATGCCACGTACCAACAAATCACAGCAGTTTTTCACTTGAGCAAGCTGCCTGTCTCGTTGCTCCAGATGCTCAAGCCCTTCCTGTAGCCTCTGTCGAATCTTGTGCTTGTTTGCATTACTGGAAAAATCCATGCGCTTGGCTCCGGCCAGCAGCAAAGCAACTCTCTCACACATCCGTTTGTCAAAGCAAAAACCAATTGTTGGAAGCTGCTTCCGGTACCACAGCAAGGAGAGCAATCGTTCTAGATCCTCCACTTGCAGAGACAAAGGATCACTGGATGAGTCTGGCGGCTTTGCTGATGCCTCTGGCACATCTTGGTCGATCAGCCAGTTGGTGACTCGCATTTGCGCTTCTTTCTCGACCATAGCATCTGCAGCTTTGACTTCAATTACTCCTCCATCATGAATCCGAATTGTGGCTGATAAACCAAACATCAGTTGCTTCAGATTCTGACCTTTCCGCCCAATCAAATGTGGCACAAGCTCGGGTGGACATCGCCACACTGCCTGACTTTGGAGGATGATGGTCCTCTGGCGAACTGCCTCCTGCAAGTTCCGCGACATGAAGCGATTTCCAGGAGGTCTCATGACGCTGAAAAACGACCGTCGCTTCGGACCAAAGAAATCAGGCGGACCGCATCTGAAAATGTCGTGCGAGAGTGGAACCTCGGCCAAAACAGGTTTTCTGACATCCCACCAACCAGGAGATAGATTTGTAACAGCAAGACGTAGCAAGGCCATCAAATCTATCCAATCAACCATGCATAAGGCATCCGTCTGTGTACATGTTGCAAACAGACGGGGCAACCACAAGTCTTTGGTTGCGGGCGATCGCAGTTTATATCAGTTTATGACATCAAAATGATCTGCCTACGAAACAAACACATCAAACAAAAGCGTATAAATCGGGAAAGGGAACGGGTCTTTGCTCACTGGTGATCACATGCACCGGCTGCATTCGAACCCGGGCACACCAATCTGCAATCGTTTGGGAATTTGGCACCGTTGCCGACAAGAGTACCAGCTTCACATGACGAGGCAAAAGGATTAGAACCTCTTCCCAGGCAAAGCCTCGATCCAAATCTCCAAGAAAATGCGCTTCGTCAATGACGACGCACTGGAAATCATCCAGGAGATTGGGGTCTCTGGCCTGCTTGTACAACATGCTTTGAAGAATCTCCAAGGTCATCACAACAATTGGAGCATCACTAGCTATCACCGTGTCACCTGTCAAGATCCCAACATATTGGCCACCAAAGGATTTCCCAAGCTCCAGGAATTTCTGGTTTGAGAGCGCCTTGATTGGAGTAGTGTAGATTGCCCTTCTCTTCCCATGCAAGGCCATGGCCACGGCATAGGTTGCAACTGCTGTTTTTCCTGCTGAAGTCGGAGCACAAACCAGGACAGATTCACCATTCTCCACACATGCAATTGCCCTTGCCTGGACCGGGTCCAGTTGGTGATTGAAAGTCCATGAGACCAGACTTGGATAAAACGACTGAGCCGATGGCTCCACAAAAGACGGCCTTACTGTGTGATGGGAAAAACTTCTATGGGATGAATGTGTTGCCCAGCTCATGTCAAGACCATCCAGATTCTCCTCCTCTTCAAAGTCTTCGGGGATGGAACTGCCACCATCGTGTTGTAAGATGCTGCTTTGAAGCTCGTTGATGGAAAGGCGCAGGATGGCCTTGGCTTTGGAGGCGACCCGCGAGTTGATGGCAAAAAAGTCCGCCGTGGACAGATCTTCAGAAACTTCTATGTGGCAATTACAAGCACGCATCAAGCAATGCCTGGCCAACATTTGTTGAACGTCCATGACAGGCAGATTCGCTTTGAACCAACTGGGCCCCCCTTTTAACAGCTGCGTCTCCATCGAATTGGAGGTTGAATCTGGCTGTAGGTCTTCGAGCTCGCTCTCGTCATCGACAGCATCCACTCCCTCGTTTTGGGCTGTGATGCCAAGGCTGTTCAGTTGCTTCAAATGATCTGCATCTGAACGCGGAACAGCTTCGACAGATCCCAAGTGGTCTAAATCTTCATCAGCTTCATCATCACTTGCATCCATCATGGCGCTAGGGAGGTGCTTTAGCACATGCTTTCAGCTGCGAAATGTCTATGGACGAGCTATGATGGAAGCTAGGCTGGTTAGTGGTGTTTAAATCTGTTGCGAACAGATACCTTCATGGTTCCGCAAAGATCTGCAAAGCGCATCAAGCTTTCAGAAAGCTCACTGAGATCTGCTGGGAATCACTGTTTAACAAGCTTTAACATTGGTCCGATTTTGGCATTATGTTGGCCACATTTCTGAGGCTAAATGAGTGCTGCTGATGAACCACTCGACATCGTGCTGGATGCTGGAAGAGTCCCGGCGCAGCACCGCGGCGCCTCTTCCACAGCTCTTGCGATGGCCTCCAACTGTGCTTTCCGTGGCGCGACCATGACCACAAAGGCGTCGCCCATGTCCTGTCGTCCCGAAGCTTCTGTGAAAGGTTCAGCGGATGGTGGCTGCGGTGATTCCTAGACAGTTGGCTAGCGGAGCTTAAACTGTTAAACTTAAACCGTTAAGGTGCCTACCAAATGACTTGATTGCGGAAAGACATTTGGCTACGGCTACTGGTCCAAGATCTTCAAAAACGGCTGAGTGTGGTCGCTTGCCAAATACTGTCAGCATCTGTCAGCTTTACTTGCAGCTATTGCCAGCAAGCACAGCGCCTTCAACGACTGGATGAACGAAGCAGCCATCTCTCCTGGGGCGGCCCTTCCTTTAAAAACCCCATGGAAAACCAACCATCACAGGCCGGGCCATTGGGAAGTCGTCCTTCTCCGGAGCTAAAGGCACCTTTCTTGGTGCCACCTGGGCGGACTGAGGGGAAATGTCATCCACTTAGCTCATGAAAGGCGTGAAAGGCCGAAAGGCTAAGGTTGAATAAGTTGAATATATCCATATCCAAGAAGAAAAGATCCAGTGAATATTGCTGGTTAGTGATTCCCTCAATCTCATCCAATCTCCACCTTCAACATCACAAGTCGTCAATCTGCAGCGTCACTTGAAGTAGTCACTTGGAGATTTCTGGAAAGGACAAGCAGTGCCCTTGGCACCACAAGCACCAATCATCTACCCTGATGCCAAGCCTTTCGCCATGGAGACCACGCGCGCTTCTCCTGTGGGCCACTGGATGGAGATTCACTGGAGACATGCAACAAGCTGAAACAAGCTGTCTAAAAAAGAGAATCATCCACTTAAACTTCATAAACGTTCAACATCTTTGAATATATTGTGAATATCTCATATATATATATATCATCATACAGTATATCATATCAATTATTGGACACCAACCTCCCATGTCACTCCTACGGCTTTGCCCCACAGCTGCTTTGCTTGCGCAGCTTGTTTGTTGGTGCGGAAGACGATGCTCAGGCGGTTCTTCAGCGCCTCAGTGTCTGAAAATGGGATACGCATCCCAAAATGGCAATGTGTTTCATCATTTTCATTGGGGAAAACATGGGATAATTATGATACTTACATATATATATATATACTTATGATAATTATGACTAACTGTGGATTTTTTCGACCAATCCACCATTTCATGGTCAGGTTTTAAAGAGCATGCTCCGCCCGCAACACCATCGGCCTTCTTGAACATCGCCAGGAAGGCGCGCGCCAGCTCCCTGTCTGCCTGGAGAATTTGCTCCGCTGATGGTTCGACTTCTGGAACAATCAGTGGATCCTGCGCTGGGTTCCGCTGTAGAAACTTCAGTCAGCTGCAATCCACCGGTCCAATACTAACCCAGTGTTTCTACAGGGGGCTACTTATGTAATACTAGGGGCCAGGGATGTATGTTGGTTCATCACAATCACCGCCCGTCTCCCCGCTCCATGACGTTCTCCAAGCCCAGTCGTAAACCTGCCTTGGGCAGCGATGGGATGCGCCGGTGGCCAGGGCAACTTGGTCCCTTGAAATCACATCCCCTACTGTTCCTGTTTTCACGGTTTTCAGCCCCATCCCAAAAGGGTTTTGTTTGAAAGCCCATCTGCGGACCAGTAGGGACCGGTTCCCCCCCGTCAGGACGATGTCGAGGATCGGGAAGCTCCACATCCGCCCGTGGTAGACCCGACTTCACCAAGACTTCCACGCCTCGGCGTGTCCTAGTCATAGGGTTTCCTGCAATTGGGGGTACCCCAAAATGGATGGTTTATAAAGTTTATAATGGAAAATTCTATGAAAGTGGATGATTTAGGGGTATCCCCATTTGAGGAAACCTCTATTTTTTCAGTTTGGTTGTGACTGACATGCTGCTCACTGTCAAACATTTGCAAGAAACAGCTCCAGCATCTGATTCCCTGAGGCCTGGAAAGAACAGTAACAATTAGGGCACCATTAGGGCACCATTTTATCCATCCTATCCAATTTGTTTCTCTCAGCTCTCCACTGGATTTCAGCGAATCCATGACCTCTTTGGTGCTGTAGGGTAACTTGATTTCTTCACCGCCGAAGATGTTGTCCCAGGGGGCCGCCCCTCAGCGACCAGCGGCACAAAATAGCAGGAAGTTGCCAAGAAGAACCACGGCGTATATGTTCAGAAGACATGTGTTTTTGGCATTTGTTTACTTTTGCTTGAAGCTCTTGACAAATTTGACAATGACTTTGGTGGGAATTTGTGGGGTTCTTTGCTGCAGTTTGAGGTCCGGACCCCTCGGTGTTTTGCATCCTCTCCTGACAGGGATGCAATTCCCAAGACCCAAAAAACAGCACAGTTCCTACCAGTACCATTCCGATGGCAGTCCTGCGACCCTGGCAGCCCACCGCCGTGCAGAAGGCCACCTCAGAGGCTTCGGTTCAGAGTCACCTCTAGATATGTTCAAATGTTAAAGCGATTAGAGCACAAGCACATACAAAAACAGCAAAAGATGAAAGTTGTGACAGTCATTCTGACCAAATGAATCCAACTGTGAACCCCTGCCAGCGCCGCTCCTTTGGAGGACATTGACGCAACCTGGTGCCCACAGCATTTTGGTCCGGAGAAAAAATCTTCTTCCACCATGAATTATGATTAACATTCAGGTTGCCCAAAGATATGCAATGAAGAATTGTGTAAGCAACACCTGTCGAGTTTCGCCTTGAAGCGATTTGTAGAACGGGAAGGACCCGAAGTTGTTCTCAGACCTCCGGCGACGCTGGCATTCTGCGTATAGGGCGTTGCATAAATCCATCTTGGCCCCCCCACGCAAGTGGGGCACAGCGGGCATGCCGGGTGCGCCGGGCGCCATGGTGACCGGAACCCAAGGCATGCCGGGTGAGCCGTGGGAAACCCAGCTGGATGCGGGGGTTCAGCCAGCTATGCCGGGCTATGCCTAGTTGAAGAATCTGCAATCCCTGATGATTCTGGGACATCAATGGTTCAGCTGTTGCTGCACTGTCTGGATACGGGAGTTGCTGAGTGCGTGGCTTGTCCGAATCTTCCGAAAATTCAAGATGTATCCCATACACCAAGATTTACTCCTCATCCATTTGTTGTCAACCACTGATGACCTGGTTGTACTTTCCAGAAAAGCGATTGCACCAAGGTGCAAAACTGCGGTGCCAGTACAAGGACAACTGCATCATGTCTAAGGCATGTAGAACCCAAGCCTTTCAGCTACCCTGGAGTTGAAACGAATATCTAGATGAATATAATCTAATAGCATTCAATGTATTATAGTCATAGAAATATTAATAACCTTAACCGCAATAATTGTTACTATTGTATACCATTGTTATAACTACATTGTATGTCTGATGCTTGGCTCGTGAAGCCTTCATGACATCGGGCCGTACCTTCCTCCCAACCAACCCAACATGTCTCGACCTTCTCGAACTCTTTGTGTAGCAGCTTCATGATTGCTCAGAGCTGTTCTACAGCCGTGATGTTCGCGAAAGGTTTGTGTGACAATGTTGGTGACATCGGATGATCGGATGGTGCTTACCGAACTTACCAAGTCTTTAATTCGGAAAGCTGGTGGATCCGGTCCCTCACAGATCGGAGTTTTTCACTCATGGCCGCAGGTGAATCAAACATCATCACTCCATGTTATTCATCGCTGATGTATCCTCCCACAAACGTGGTACTGGTTGGTGGTGCAATAACCATCTTGCAACATATTAGCCAATGGGAAGGATTATCCCATAGATTATGGCAAATAAAAAATGTTTGAAACCACCAACCAGTGTTAAACCGACTCCCAAACTGATCAAACTGTTAAACTGGTTGCTGATTTGTCAACTCATAGACTGATAGCACAGATTCAGCTGCACCACGCTTGAGCCAAAATCCAGCCGTCTCATGGCGTGAGAAGATCCCACGGATTTCGTCACCTGATCCCCACCGCAAGGTTTCTTGTCTCTGTGAGATTCCGAGGCCATTTTTCAATCTGTGAAGCAATCAGCGGCTTCTTTCTCCAAAGCCTGCAACACTCGCTTTTGACCTCACAGTACGAAGTTGGAGACGTTGACGTGTTGAGTTTGTGACCATGGGACCATGTTGGGAGTCTTTCAAATCTTTCAAATCTTTCAAATCTTTCAAATCTTTCAAATCTTTCAAATCTTTCAAATGGTCAATCTCGATGATTTCCCACGAGATCCAAAACCCACGATCCAGTCTGCGTCTCGCACCAATTCGCAGTTGCAGGATGTTCTGCGCGTTCTCCGGACGTATTCCATCTGGAATCACCACCTCCGCACGCAGATTTCCTTGAAGGATCAGGAGGATTTCATGGGCTGTTCATGGCTGTTCCACCTGTTCCAAATATGAGCTTAATGTTTTTTCTGATTCACCAGTATGGTAGTATCACAATCTTTATCACTTGATATATAACTTATATTGATATAGCTGATATATAACATTAATTATAGTATAACTATAAACACCATTAACCAACATGGACCACCAGGCCTTTGCTTCCAAGGTCTCCCTGCGCCGCTTGGCATCAGGTTCCTGGACGTCGTTGACAGGTCCAATGCTACTCCAATACCACAAATCGCTAAATACCCAGAACTGCGAACTATGTGGGGTTAAAAAATGTTATATAATTTATATAATGTTATAAACCCAATGACTGTATTCAGCTTTGACTTATATATGTCTGGCTATCCTGGCGCAGCCAAAGCACATTTCTTCCTAGCACGAGTCGTGAAGGGGTCTGTCCAATGGGCTAGACTCATCAGACGTGTGCAAGTGCATCAAGAAGTTCGTCAGCTGATTGCTGTTCCCCAGATCGTTCTATGCAACCAGGAGGATAGCGCTGACACTTGGACAGGAGAAACAAATTCCAAAGTGTATTTTTTCCTTGATCCTTTGGGAAACAAGGCATGGAAGAAAACCGTAAATAAGTACTTGGAAGAAGGAAAACGTGCCTGATTGGGGTCATCACCATCATCAACATTACGAGGGAACCAGCCACAAAAGTGAACGCGCAGATTGCTCCAGAATCCATAGTCCATAATCCATAATCCACCACCACCACCACCACCACTATCATAACAATTATCATGATGATCGCCGCCAATCTTCATCATATTGACTAGCCTTAGTCTCAACCTCTTTACAATGCCTGCCACAATGTCAGCCGCTCTGAGTTTCGATCCCTAAGCCAGTTGGGCTTGAGGAATCCGCATCTCCCAGTTTACACCGGTTTGGTGCTGTGGAGCAGACAATCATCCCTGCCAGTAACTAACCCACTAGTACTGCCTTAAAGAAAAATGAAAGTCATATCCTCTATGTGGTCGAAGAGCTTGTTGCTGGTTCACCTGGCAGGAAAAGGCAACTTCTGCATCCGTTATGCTCATCTGACCTGACCTGTTGGATGTCTATCAAAATCCTTCACATTTAGTCCACCATTTCTTTGGGGCTCACCACACGCCACGGCTGTGAGGGGGGCGAGTCAGGGTCACGACACAACTTGAAGATCATTAGAGATGATTGGATCACTCCTGAGTATCACATCTTCGATCACTCCAAGTCCAACCTTTCAGATTGTCATGACCCCAGAAGCTGCTTATTTTTGGCGGCAGCACCCCAGGAAGAGACCAGGAGATCTGTCATTCAAACAGTAGACAGATCTGCTAATGACTCCACGGGTTGAAAATATTGGCCGCCCAAGAAACTGACCCAGACGATGTTCAAACTGCCGCGGCTTTAAAAATGGGTCATGCTGAGGCTGGTATTCACTACCAGTGGCTGGACCAGGCAAAAATCCATTGGCGACTCGTGTCCTATCACAACACCTCTTTAGTGAAGCGCCGCGGGGAAGTAGTGACACAGTTCGGCAATTGAGGGCCCCCAAATAGCCCCCATATTCATTAAAGAGCCCATGCGAAAATGTCCAAGAACCGGTGAGAACATGTAGTGGAGCTCAGTGCTTCCAATTTGTGGGATCCACGCTGTGTATCTTGGGATACTGTCGGCACAGGATGACTCGAGATGTGCCAAGAGTAGGGCCAGCAGTCTATGCGAATACCCTGAGCCTATGGGCTTCCAATCCCAAGATCTGGCTAACAGCTATATCCCAGAAGAACTGCCGTACCAACGAATGGCATTCCACTCTGTGTGACTTCCCAGCGGTGCGAAGAACGCCATGCGGTCAGTGTACTGACTCGCAGCGTACCAGGCATATCCTCCGGCCAAAATGCCAGAAGTCTGGCTGGATGAAACACAAATGGATTGGTTCATCCTGCTAGCTCCAAGGGCTCCCATGAGCACACCAATCTGTCAAGATCAATCCTGGCACGTAAGGGACATGATGAAAACATATGAAAACTTTGGGAACCCCGTGAGCAGCTGACCGTTTCAAACAATCTTTTCAAACCTCAGAAACCCTTCACTTCCTTCCTTCGAGGTGCCAACGATTTCCACAGTTGGCTGCGGGTCTTCCAAAGCACCGTTCCACGTCAAACAATTGACATGACATGTATCTGATATCTGTGTATATCTGTGTATATCTGTAGCATCTATTCACTTCATGCAAAATTGGAGAAATTTGGCCTTGCGCCACACTTAAGGCACAAAACTACACAAACATACAGAAACCATGCTTCAACAATTCAAACATGTTCAAACACATGTGCTTCCTGGCTGCCCTGGGTGCTCGAAGCTAACACTTCGACCCTGCGACATGGCAATGTAGACCGATGCTCCAGTTCCGCTCGAGATTCAAGATTTCCGGGGCCTTTTTGGAAGATATCTGGCACCAACTGGCCTACTAGCTGTTTTCAGATCACCAAATGGCATAGCATGACTTTTTGCTACCAATGGATTCCACGTTGGAAAAACGGCGTTGTCAAACTAAGGGGAAAACTCTGCGCCGGTTTGATCCTGTGGTTTTTTCCCTGTCGGATGACCATAGGTCCTAGGAACCAGTTTGTGCAGCTCAAACGCTGACTGCATATCCAAGGCTTTGGCATTTTTCGGGGGATCGATTCCCTTCTCAATTTACTATGATTTACTATAGAGATTCACTCCAAGTCATCAGCATGGTTGAAAAAAAATGAGCTACTCAACAGCAACTCATGAAGTCTTCATCTCCCATTACTTCCCTAAAACTTTTGACTTTTGACGGTTAGATGTTGCCGGGCCCCGGGTGAAACACTTAGTCGCTGAGTCATGTTGGATCCTGCAACTTTTCGTCACACACTCGGAAGACGAGTCGGTCAAAAGGACAAGCCAATGGTGCACCAACAGTCCCATGTGTAAAAAATGGAACAGAATTGGTATACAGTACTGTAAAAGTTGTTTGGAGGTGGTGAAAAATAATGTTCCAAAAACACATAGCTGGTATGAAGAAAAAAGCCCCTTTGCACAAGACACTGAGAAAGCTCAGCAAGAACTCCAGCAACTGGGCAATGCTAATCATCTACGGGAGTCCCATCTTGTCCCTTCATTTACATACTTAAATGTAGCCTCTGGTAATTTAACATAGCTATGGAAAATCACCATGTTCAATGGGAAAATCCACTATCAATGGTGATTTTCAATAGCTATGTTAAATTACCAGAGGGTAGCGCATATGTTTATAGTTGCACACACAAATGCACACAGTATCGCGCGACACAACTTACTATCAGCAAATATCAGCCCTTCTGCCTCGCAGGTGCAACTGCAGGATGGGTCCCAAACTCGGGCGCTGAGAAACAAAGCAAGGGCAACCGCGGCAACCAATCTGCATCTCCCATCAGATTCACCTATCTACCCGTCATCTATCCAGGAATCTAATTTATCCATTCTGCATCTCAAGCCTGGGAAATATTTAAACTGCATATGAATAAACGGCCACCCTGGTTGAAAAAATGCGACAGTACACCCCAATGATAAACAGTCCGTGGGTGTTTCTATCGTCTGATGGATGTCATCCTTGGTGGGACTGAATAATTGCTGAAGATCTGATTCTGGCCGTGAGAAAATGCTGTGAATCGGAGCATTCGTTGGTCAGCACATGGATTCTTATGGGTCCTTCCTTTTCTTTCCAATATGGATGCGCTGTAGGTCCAATGCAGGTTATCCTGGAGAATTGTTCAGCATCTGGTTGCCGTTGCCACTTTGTGCGCCATGAAACGCTGATAAGTTTTCTTAAACACGGAATAACCCTAGGTGTCAATGCGTTTACTACGTAGTTTTCTCTCGAATACGATCCGATTGACACCCAGGTAGTTTGATCTTGCATATGGTTTGCCACTTCCAAGCATCATTCAAAGATGATGCTATTTTTTTAAACATGGTAGCTAGAACCAAAATCCATCACTCAACCAGGACGTTCAACACCTCACGATCTTCGGAAAGCCAGCACTAAGCTGCTTTTCCTGTGGTTCTCAATCCATCACCCCTCATCCTAAGGATGATTCAATCTCTTGACGCAACTCCTCAGCAGCTCAAAAGGAGATGGGCTGCAACTTGAACCGCACACCATACAATCCCATCGTCACATCTCAGAATCAATTTTTCCCAAAATCGACAGAAGATCTCAGCAAAACCCGTCCTGCATCTTCTGTTCGAGTCTTTCTCCGGCTGCGTCGGGTGCTTCCTCATCCGACCTCACCACACACCGGACCCCGAACCGAAGCTGATCAACCAGCAGTCGTGATATCACACACGCTAGACAAGAATGGATCTATAATTCATCCGTCGGGAGCTGAATCCCCTCACCACGTGCAAATTTGACAGGAAACACAGTAACCTAAGAAGAAGTATTCGAATACCGAGAGGTACACCGAAAAGACAATCGTGACCAGAAACGTCTTCAAATAAGTTCCAAAAAAATGAGAATAACCGCTATAGGGTTCTCGGCTTAACCCTTCGCCATGACTGTAAAAATACCATGCAAATAAGGTGGAAAACGACGCCGAAGAAAATCTCAGATTGCGACAACCATGTAAAAACATGTAAAAAACAAATTTCTGTTGTTGGGGTTCTTGGCTTAGCCTCTTGCCATGACAGTCAAAAAATGCAGGTACACGGAGGTGATCAATCTCCGCTTCCACCATTGTGAAATAGCTTCGTTGGCACAAGTATCCACAATGGGCCTGTGCCCCCTGCAACATTGAAACCAACGGAAGAAAATCCCAGAAGTTTTACATCAGTTCAGATGGTACACACACAATATATATATATATAGACAAGAGTTGATCTTTTAAGTGATCCGTCGGGAACTGAGTCCCCTAACGTGCAACTAGATTAGTTACATATATATGTATAAATGTATATATATATATATGTATATATATATATATATGGGCTATGGTGGCCACCAGATGCGACTTAAATGCGCCCAGGTGCACCTGTTGCCGGTGGCTCAGTCTGCTCAGAAGGGATCGAGGACGCCAGAGCTTGCAAACCCACAGCTAAGCTTTGAAGTTGGTCGGGAGTCACTGTCCGGGTCAGATTGCAAATGATGGTTGTTGGGTTTGCCCCAGGTGTAGGTGGTGCAAATAGTCGTTCCTGGTGTTGTGCTGCCAATGTTGCGATGTTGGGTGTCGAGGAGGTTGGTGTCGAAGTTGGTGTGGTCGAAGGGAGGTCGGGTGCGGTTGGATGTAAGTTGTAATGTCGGTGACCGTAGTGGTGAGGGTTTTCGAAATGGAGTGTTGGGATGTTGAAGAAAGCTCGCCAGTAGTCTGCAGTGTGTCGGGCATAGGCATCGTCCCCGGTCAAGAAATAGAAATACTGCTCATGTTCTCGGAATCGAGAGTAGCCTTTGAAGTTGATTTCGTTGATCCACAGTTCCTTACGTTGGTTTTTAAGTGAAGACTTTGGAAAATACTTGGTGCACAGTCTGTTCCGTGAAGAACACATGATGGCTCCGGTTTTCCCACGAGGTGTCCATGGCAGGGAAAGGTGGTGCTCCATGTTCTGAGGGATCCGATGTATAGGGAGTTGGGCCAGTTGGTTCAGGGGCCGAGGAAGACGCAGCAGTTGCCAGGATAGCTGGTGAAGGTGTCAGTGATGAGCTCGTTGGTGGCGGAGTAGTTCCAGGTAAAAGTGGTCCACCAAGGTTTGGCCGCAGCGGCGGGTTAGGCCACAGGTGGCCCGCACTGGTCGCATCACGTTTGTTATCCATGGTGAGCAGAAGGATATGAGATAAGGCTGCAGTAGCAAAATTCCATCAATGCCACACCCGTTGGCAATACAATATAGAGGTCGAAGTCAAAGTCTGGATTGCCCAATAGACACATAAGAAAGCCAAAATCAAGCACGAAGTGAAAAAGAACAAAATAATAACTAACTTTGCTTTTCCTGGCGTTCTCGGCTTGGCCCCTCGCCAACTGCACATGATGTAGATATAGTCATAGTCATAGTACATGCGGACGAAATTTGTATGGTTGGGGTTCTTGGCTTATACCCTGGCCATAAAGATCCGGAAATGCACGTAACAATCGTCTTTTTTGGAGGACGCAGGGTGTTCAGCAATGTTATGGCAAAATCACGCCTTGGCGAACCTTGTGACAAGTCAATCGTAAGAGAAGACTGGGGAGTGCCTGGAATCAGCGGGGCACTCGCCAAGAAAATTGTACTGGTTTAGACGCCACTCAGGTCTGTACTCCTCCAACAAGCGAATGATAGTCGTGTCATTGGGTACTTGGAAAACATCTCCGTCAAGATCAGCATAGCGAAGCTCAAGGTCAGTGGGAACCATGCGAATGTCCCATTGATTCCAAAGGCGATTGCAAATGCTCACTCGTAGGTTGGCAATGGGTACGGCGGAAGCCATTTCCGCTGAATATTGTTGAGCCCAAGTGAGTGTAGCGAAAATTGCCTGGGCGAAGGGCTCGACATGTTGCGGAATTGGCTTCGCTGGCATGCGACAAGTCTTGAAGTGCCGAGAAATCCACGAGGACAAGGATCGGTCTGTTGGGAGGTGGATCATCACCTGCAGGTTGTCGACCTGGTCCAGCATACCAAGAACACGATCGAGAGCCAGTTGGAGTTTGTATGTCAGTAGTAGAGCGGTATGGGCGATGTCGTCGAGATCCTTTCGGGGCCATTCAGCGAAATAAGAAGGTCGTGAAGCGGTAACAAGCCAAAAACCAAATGCCTGCGGGAAGCCATGACGGAATGAAAACCAGATAAAGACAGATCAAAGAAATCAGTTGCGCAAAAAATCAGCAGAGTCATATTTTGGATCAGGGCATTGAGGAGATTATACACTTGAATCGGACATATCGGCGTTGCTGCTCACAGTAGATTGAGGCGGAGCAGGTTGTGGCGAAGATGTGGGCGATGTTGGTGGTGTATGACGGGGTTGGAGGCCAAAACAGGGAAGTGGGAACGCGTTGGGAGTGTCGATGCGCCGAGCGGCCCCAACATGCCTGAAGGATCGAGGTGTGGTCAGGGATCACGGAGACAGGTTGCCCAAAATTGACGTTTGAATGTTCAGGATGTGGTAGTTCAGGGTGCTGATGTGATGTGACGTCTGTATATGGGAAATCGGGCCGATGTCATAGTGAAGCCGCCATTGGTTTGCCACAGCTCGCAAAATGCGCGGGTGGTTTGACAAGCGGAGGGTGCCCAAGAAGGATTCAATGGAGCACCAGGTCTCGAGGCTGTCGGAATTGAGTTCCAAGATTAATTCATCGGGTCGGGAAGAGGATGGATGACATACTCGTTTGAGGTAGATTGTATGGACAGTGTGCGCTTGAGGAACGGCTCGGGTAGCACGTGGGATGTACGTCGATGCTGTCGGGTCATCAAATGTGCGGTCCGTGGGATTGTATGGAACATCACGAGGAGGATCACGAAGTGGTTGGCCATAGCAGTCAGGAAGATGCGGGTGTTGCGCCATGGGATCCAAGGTGAATATGTAAGTAGGAATAAAGACTGGGACTTGAGCCAAGGTCTTTGTAGTAATGTAAAATTTACTGAGCAGGGAATAAAGGGGACCTTGATAACTGTAACGATCAAAAAGAATCGCAAGTTAGAACTCGCAACCACAGATCAAGAACGGCAAAAGATTTTGGTGTGAAATTTCACTTGTCAAGGACGTATCGGTGCCTTTTTCCTTTTGCTGCTGGATGGTCTGTAGGATGAGGTCACTCAGGAAGAACTTGTCACATCACGGCGTTGTGCGAGAAGAACGGGTGTCCACGGGGAATGCTTTGAATACGCACGACGAAGCCAGTGTCGGAGGCATCAGCATGAGGAGCTTCAGAATGTCGGGAAGGATGGGCGTAGCAATGTTGATGCGTTTTCCAATGTGGGAAGTGACAATTGAGGATGTCAAGGATGCTGCGATGCGGTTGATTGAGTAGGCGGTGTCCTTGAGAGGTGTCAACGGTGAGACAGAAGTCCGTAGAGTTGAGGAATATAGCCCAGCGTTGACCGAAGGTAGTCACAACCAAGGTCTCAATTTCCTCGATGTAGTGATGGGATGCATAGTCGGGGTAGATAACCTTGTATATCTGAAAGAGGCCATCATATTCAATTGTCGATAAGTTGCCCGCAACTTGAGGAGAAAGGATATTGTAACTGCAAGTTGTTGCATAGGTTTCAAATCGATCTGTAGAATGACTGGTCGATGGGCTTGAGGAACAGGTGGTTGCCATCCCGGTGGACGAAAGAATGGGGACGGTGGAGTTGAGGTGGCATTCCTGTCCAAAGGGGGCGAGCGAGATCGAGGCGTAGCAGAAATGTGTTCGTTCGCCATGGCACGGCCCATACAGTAGCGGTCCAGGTGAGCACGGAGCGACATGACACGTTCAGGCTGGTGTGGCAAATATCCGGGTCAATGCATCAATTCAATTCTGTGTTGGAAGAAACACATAAACCAAAAGAGTTCCGGCACGAATGGACGGTACTTACAGGCATGAACCCGCACACAGATTGAAAGTAAGAAATATGTAACAAAACTTGCTGCGAGACCTGACTCATAGGGCAGTAGAATCGTGTATCACTTTTTTCCGCATGTCGAAGGTTAATAGGCCAATGTGTAAGGAGGCGATGTAGGTCTAGCCCATTCGGTGCTTGATGTGGTTCCACATGATTTTGACATCAGGCTCAGGTTTTCCCAGTTTGCCAGCGATGACTTTCCAACCATGGCGAGCTCTTTGATCCTTTTTCAAATCGCGGAGGAGCTTCTTGTCTTCGTCCGTCCAAACCGCCGGGCTTGGAGGAGAGGTCTTCGGAGAGGCTGAGCGTGACTTGCGGCGTTTTGTGGGTACCTTTGGTGCAGCTTTGGTGGTACGTTTTTTCGGCGTAGCCGGTAATGCCGATGTACTTGGGGAGAACTTCGGAGGTGCTGGAACAGAGTCAGGAACAGGAGCAGCGAGATGGTGGCATGGTTGGGGAAGATTTTGATGAGCATTTCGAAAGTCCTGCATCAACGTTTCCTCTTCTGAAAGATCAGGAGGTGAGAAATGTGCAGCGTCAATGAATTGGTTGGTTTCGTCAGAGTATTCCGGTTGAGGTAGAAGGCCTTCAGTCAGGTTGGTCCAGGCTCCGGTGCTGGACAATGGCATGGGCTCAATGTTCGGTATCATCGTAGGAGGTAGAAGAGACATAGCCCGATGGAGGAGAAGGTATGCGTGGTGGACATCATGTAGGAACTGTTGAAATACCGGTTCATGTAGCGGGGTCGATGCCGAAGGAGAAGACGCCATGTCGGTGGTCCGATTGAAGGAAAGCAATATCGGCGATGAAAAAACAGCTGTTGGTAGATACATGATACATGGTGATTGGGAGGAATTACAAAAATCTATCGCAGATCCAAAGCTCTGATAAACATGAGGCTCAGTTCCGGTGAAGGTTCTTGCGCAGGCGCAGTTTTACCACAATGAGTTGGAGTGCATGTGTCGACGGATTGGCTTGGATGCAGCTATGAGGTCTATTTCACAAATCCAGCGCAGCTGTACAAGCGATGCAAAGCCGCAAACCCTCGGACTTGTTTTCTGATTTTGGATACACGCATTTGGCGACCAGAAAAAGACGAGATACAAAGCCCGATAACTGGACGGCTATCGGCGATGCCGAGAACGGAGCCATGACTTGATTGAAATCTCGCGGAGGGCAATATCTCAGGGCAAAAGTTTCAAATTGGATGCAGAAGCCCAAGAACTCCTGGTCCGGTTCCGTCTCTATAATATGATGGGGTGGCCATAGAACTCGGGATGTAGGAATTTGCTAAAACGCAGAACCACTCGTGGACCTCACCTGCTGCATGATCCACGTAACAAGCAAGGGCCATAGCGCCAGGCAGTGGACACACCACCTCCTCACAATCACCATCATCTCCTACAGGTGCACTTAACTAGGCACAAACAGCGACTGAGCTCGGGCCTGGACAGCAAGGTGGAGACAGACAGCAACGGTTATATAGAGGAAGAAGGAAGATCCTCTTCTGGCGTCAAAGGGGACCAGTTGGGAGGCATGCTGGTCCTGACCTCATCCGGACTGAGGCGCCATGATGCAGGCAGCGCAAGAGCTGGCGGGAAAGTCAAACCGGATGAACTTCGCGGGAGCAACGCATCGGGTTCTGCAGCCGAAGCTGCGTTCGGGCTGGTAGGGGGCATCGTCAAATCGATGGAGCTGCGGGCAACGCAGTGCCGCCGGTCCGAGCTGCACGCCCAGTCCAAAGCAGCATCCAGGTCGTGTGGAAACCTTCTTGCGGCTTCTTTGGCCAAAGCAAACGGCACACAAGGACAAAAGAAGTGCGACCAGCTCATCTGACGCGCAGCTTGGCGGACTCTGTGGCAATGGGCTGGGGCCAGCCCCCCTCATGCGGGGCATTGTTTGACCTGGACGAAGTGGCATTGACTGGTCAACGAAGCCACACATGCAAACACCAAATACGCCAACACAGGAGCAGCCATGGACCCAAGAAGACTGTTGCGAAACCTGGCGCATGCAGAAGCGGTAAGTGAAATGCTCGGCAAACTTCGCATCGATTCGGATATGCCCCAGTGGCCGCATGTGAAGGTGTCAGCGATGCAGGCGACAAAGAAGGCGTACGCGGCAAAGATGACTTCAAGCGACCTAACCATGTAGCAGAGACTGGCAAATCCACAGCGCCGCAAGGCATGGTTGGGGAACGTGAGCGCTGGCAATTTAGCTCAATGGTGTTGGTTGGAGAAGCGGATGCAGTGTTGAAAGACTGCCATGGAAGCGGCGAAAGCACACCTGCGTGACATCCAATCATCCCTGAACCCGGATCTTGTACTTTCCGAATTTCTGGACAGGTCTCTTCCTGATCAGCCAACCATTTCGGGAAGAAAGGCAAAGAAGCATGATGCTGGGCTGTCCTGGGGACCCATTTGGGGAAGAAAGGCAAAGAAGTGCTTTGACTCTAGACTCACACAACGGATTCTGTTTGAATGGTCGGGGAGAATGGCTCAATCTCGCCTCAGCAGCTGGAGCAAGCGAAGATTGCGACGAATCCAACACAGTTGCAGGCAAAGAACCGATGGAAACCGTGGATGGCTGCTTTTCAACCTGGAAGAACAAAGTCGGAGAGACACTGCGAGCGGAAGCATGCTCACTGACAGGGTCAGACATGGAAGCGAGGCTTGGCTGGGAAGCAAGCAAACTATTGGAGGCAATGACGGAGGCATCTTCATGGGTAGGCAAAATACCGCTGCCACACAAGCCAGCCGCGGCACCACATGAGGCAAAGCGCACTTCGCGCGATGAGTTGTCGCGGCGCAAGCAACATGCTACAAAATGCCCAACTTCATCGCCTGGCTGCTGCGTGAATAGCATTGCCTGCGTCTTAGGAAACGCATCAAGCCAACGGCTAGCATCTGTGAAAGACAGCTGCTTAGCAGCACAGCCAAGCAAAAACAACAAACAAGACTTGGCAGGCTTGTGCAGGATGAGCACACCTTCTGAGTACCACCGATCCAAAAGAGGCACTAATGATCTGAATGTGCTCCGAGCTAGTCACTGCTCCTAGACTATCTGGAGGCGCGCCTCTCTGCATGGCTTCCTGCAATGCAGTGACCGGGTCTTGCAAGGTTAAGTCAGCGTGCTAAAACCACCAGCAATGTGAAGCGGCGCCGTTTTCAATGGGACAAAAAAGCCAACCAGGAACAAGAAGCAGAGAATCTAGTCCAAAGCAGTTCACGCAACAACAGCGCAAAGGCTCTGTCTGAACAACATGGGAAGGAGAGAGGGCCCAGTTCTCAATGGGGCGCAAGACTGGCAGACAGGGATCTGTAAAGCTGGCATTAGGATTGTTTCCGTTCTGCCGGCATTTGACCGAAAGCTTCTTCCGCGGAGGGACACTGGAAAGGAGGCAGCGAGCCAAACGGTTCCGTTGAGGCAGCGGAAGTTTCCAAAAGGCCTCTGCCTGAGCACCCAGCGACCGGAGGAGTGAAGCGCAACTTGGGACACGCTTGTACGGGGCTTGATGGAACTCAGGACACTGGAGAGCCCGCCGTTGGATTTTAGGGATTTTAGCAACAGGAAGCTTTGGAAACGTGCATGGGCGCAAAAAGGAATTCCATGGAATGCAACCTGGCCCGCGAGCAGTGCGGCTTGATGTGTTGTTTTTTTTCCAACGATGTGGAACAAAGGGCGAATCCAAATCTAAAACAACAAGCCCAGGGTTCATCTGCAAATCTCTGGAGGCCAAACGAAGGAACCGAGATTCCACCGCACCACAATCTACGGAAACCATCCCTATCCCCCGTAACGTGCCGCGCAGCTATAGCCCATCATTGCATCAGTTGGCTCCATCAAAAATGGGCTCCCCCAATTCCACTGGTTAAAACCCCAAAAAGTCCACACTTACCCCTCTTGTAATTTAACATAGCTATGGATAGCTATGGATGGTTTTCCATCTATAGATGATATATGATCTGCAAAATTTACTTTAAATTCAAAACGGTTTCCTCGTCTTAAATCTACTTTTCCCCTCTGATTAAATCTTCAGTCCTCGCCTCGTTACATTCAAAACGGATTTCAGCCCTCGTCCCATTTCTTTCTCGACCGCAAGCCATTCGAACTAGTCCTCTGCCTCCTTTTGGGTTGAACTTTTTTGAATTATCTTTGTCGTCGTTGCAGCAACGCTCTGGGCTCCAGAGGCTTGGGGATGCTGAAAAAACTTTTCAGGGCCTAAAAAGTTTTTTCCTGTTTCCGAGATGCCTCTTTTACAAGCGGATTTGCAGGGGCTCGATTCCCCCCAAATTCGACCCCAGAGAAGAGAAGCTGCAGCAGCAGCACCAAGATACCCCGCTACACCTCAAGCTTTAGCAATTTTAGAATCTAGTCGCGCTACCTGGGAAAGGTGAATAAGAACTATTGACCAAAATTTCAGGGTTCCCTAGGGTTCTTATTTCAATTAGCTGGTAGACAGAGTTTGAATCCAGCAATCCAGCCCCTGAGGTTCTTAATGCAGTGGGTTCCTAAACAGTGGTTTCACTGTAGAACAAATACGGAAGTCCTGGAACAACCGGGCATGCCACCACAGGGCACTGACTGAATTACGATAAAAAAAAACTTTTCGGGCTCCAGAAAGTTTTTTTTTCACGGGTCTGAATGCACCCTTAAATTTTCTATTTTTTCACTCTGATGGGAACACAAAAAAACTTTCTGGAGCCCGAAAAGTTGTTTTTCACTCGTTGCACATGCTTTGAAAGCAATTTCTGCCCACCTCGTTTTCTGAATTTAATTAATTCACCTCGCTTAAATTGCAAAGATTCACCTCGTACCTCGTCAGCCCTCGCTCTAAATTGTGCAGATATGATGCCTAATGATCTAAAATGGTGACTTTCCATGGATGATGTGGGTGATGACAGATGACACCTCTATATACAATTATACAAATTGTAAAATATGGTAATTTTCCAGACTTTATGGTATAAATATGTATTTTCTTTACCCATAAACATGAATTGCGGCCAAAGGACACTTCCAAACACATGAAGAGGTGGATTTCTTGGAGGTCAATGCGCTGAAGCATCGCCACCACTTCAGCCAACTCGCCACTCTTGCGACGCAAGACCACATGGCGCCAGGCACCTGGTGCAGCTGACATGTCTACAATGTGTACCATGATATTGCCATGATGTTAGAGAAAATCTATGATAAAATCTATGATATCATACGATATCTATATGTGTACTTGATTATCTATAAAGTTCACACATGTATGCATTCTATGTAGAGATATGACATACATATACATACATACTGGTATCAGATTCAAGCAAAGCAAGTTAAACCACAGATAGGCAAAGTGCAACATGGTTGTTGTCGCTGGGACTTTCCACATCCCGCAGTGCCGCAGTGCGACCCCAGCGGCCCATCAATGACGGCAACTGCTCCAGCAAAAACGCTGTGAGAGTATCGCCCGAGATGAGTCTAGTCAGCTCCTCATGGGTTCCCATGAAGAGTCACGGGGGAAATGGATGACTCCAAAGTGGGGTCCAACAAAGTGTCAGGTACCTTGAGGATCATGGAAGAATGATCAATGCTCAAATTATATGAAAAGTGGGGAATCAAATGAACCGCAAAACATTAAACAATGAATCATGGAACAATTTTTCACCACATCGGAAGCAACATCATTCATGACACTCAAAGAATACATCCAGCATCAGTGCGTGGCACATCCCAACATTGTAACATCCAGCATCCGATGGTGTTCCCCGGTCCTTGCACTGCATCTCCCTAATGGAGTAGCCGACTAAATCTTCGAAGCCTTGAGACACCAGGCTGAAGCTGAAGTCCTGCGGAAGGACTGGGAATCAACCCATCGGTTATGGTAAGAAAATATGCTATGGAAAATGGCCAGTGTGTAGATGATGACCTATTTAAAATACTGCTTTCCGGTAGGTTCGAGTACCTACCTGTGTAATCATTATAATCCCATCTTGAACACATCTGAAATTCCAAATGTTCGAAACCAGTTGGGAGTCATGCTTCGGGTCACCCCAGCCCCAGTTTCCAATACTATAAAACAATAATTATTATATCATGTCATGTAGTGCCACTTAATGCCATATACCGTATATCTGTTATGGAATCCTCATCCCAACTAGCAGCTCATCTAATTTGGCCTCCGCCCCATGCTCTCCTCAAAAGTGCCAAGTGAGACACCTACTGCGAGATGGTGACTTTCGATCTTTTCCCGCAGACCTGCAATGATTGGATTCCATGAGATCTAAGGAATGGACAGATAAAGATGATTTGGTGAACGTGTTTGTTCGAGTGGAACACCACCAAAACGATGATGTTTCCTCATGCCAGTCCATTGGTTGTGGATTCATCTTCGTTCTGACTCATCCTTGGCGGAACCTGCAAGTTTGGGGCTGTTGAAAGCATCACTCTGAGAATCTTCGTCATCGTCGATGTCGTCCAAGAACTGCAAGAAGTCACCTGCCAGTGATTCTGCTGGCTTTCGCCATCGTAAACCTCTGCTTTCTGGAGTTGAACTAATATATAGTATATATATAATTGTATATATAATTGTATATATATATATACGTACATATATATATATATACAGATACTATTACTATGACTTAACTGCAAGAGTTACCCACACAGTCACCGGCCACCGGAAGCTGTGACTGTAAGGAATCACTCAACACTCCGAGCACACGCCAAGGGGATCATCTGGGAGCCCACCTTCGGTTGGTAGGGCCGTTTCCTCTGTATTGAAGCGCTCACCTGCAGCAATTGGAAAGAACAGACAGGCGCTGAGTGGGTCATTCTGGATGCCCATAGTAGATTCTAGTAGATTTTCCCCAAACCCAAAATGGTGATGTTTTTTTGCAGAGTTTCGCACTGAAAAATCCGCATGTCCAGCTTGATGCCCACTGAGTTCCTTGCCTCTGTAGAAATCCAGCTGATCTTCGTCTGGAGCGCCAAATGGGTGCCTTAGGATCCCAGGACACAAACCCGAGACACGGGATGCAGCTTCAACTCTGCCTGGTAAAATATCATATAAGAATACAAAATCATCTTGAACATATTTTTGCTGAGAAAATGGTATCCAAACATCTTGAAAGTTGTGCTGGCTAAGAAACATGCAAAATTTTCACCTTCCCCCACTGGAGATTTCATGAGCCGCACTGAATTACAGACAGGCTGCCACAATTTCCCGTGTTCCATGCGGCCTAGAAGGGTATGCAACATGCCCGAACGCCGCAAGTGCCAGAACGACGTACTGGCCCGGAATGAAAACCCTTCGAGCCAAAAGAAGCAGCAGTGTGATGCATAATATCTTGGTGGCCCACTGTTTTGTATAGGCCTGGCAATCAGCCTGTTCAATTCCAGGAAGCATGTCAACCAATCCAATTTTCCATCACGAAGAATCTATTTGTTAAGTTAACACAGAATCACCAAAACCATGAGTAGTTACAAACACATCAAGCAGTTTGGTTGAAAGGTCTTTCACTTTGACACCTGGTTCATCCGGGTTCGCCTGGGTCTCTGTTCCTTGTAGCTGCCGAAGCATCGTCAGATCCTCCAAATGCAACTTGCGAATCATCTCGACCAAGCTTCCTAGGGGGAATGACTAAACTTCTCAGAAACACAACCAAGTTCAATGAAATTGGAAAAATACTGTTTAGTTTGAGATGTGGTGGCCCTGCGTCCATGCAACTGACTGGCAATATGTTCCCTGCTAGGAAAAATCCACTTGCAGATTGTTCGCTTCCCTGGTACAGCAATCGAAGCCAACTGTATGATCTGCATGTTACGGCCGGCATGACGCTTTTGAACTCGCACACTGGTCTCAGTTTAGCAACCCATCTCTAATCTCAACGAGTCATGGAGCATTTGCACAGTTGACAAAAGGGCTTCCATGTGATTCCAGGCGCCATCATCTTTTCTCTGAACTGCTTCACTAAGTTCTTCAGAGGAAAGCCGCAACTCAAAACTTTGGTCTTCAGATTGTTCATCTGGTTTGCTGACACCTGTGACCTCGAATATCCGTGAAACATTGACTTCAATCTTCTCATTAGGGTCTATCCAAACTGCATTGTCCCTACATGTGCATGCTTGCACCTTCCACCCAAATGGCAGCTCGGTGGATTTGATGGCCCGGGTCAACTCATCTGAGTTCCAGGATCGACACTTCCGGTCCAGAGCCATCAATGCACCGATGACTTCATCTTCAACATCCACATCGTTGCTTGTTGTGATGGACACACGGAAGTCCGGACATTTTCCAAGGCGGCACACGTCTCCTCTGAAAAGCCGTTCGCTGGAAGTTCTTGCAGTGAAGGATTGTCCACCTGTTGCAAGGAGTTGGGGCTCCAGCGAACCAGAGATCAAAAAACACGTTGTGAAGAGACAATGACAGCGATTGAATGAGATTGACACATACTGACACATTGTTGTTCAATCGCTTGATGCCCCTCTCTGCCAATCTGGTGCACTGAGCTTGGGACTGCCAGGCACCTGCGCTGCACATTTGGCACATTTCCCTGGTACCAAGTTACCAAGGCACATCTAGGGGCCGTATCATAAGTTGAAACACTAAAGGATACACTGAATACACGAACACAAAGGGGCAGCCACAGGCGCCTCCTTATATGGTGGTCGCACTCGCAAAGCCTCCTCCAACGACATTGATGGCACCGAAGGTCCTTGGCCAATTGCAGCAATCACTGCCCAGGAGGGTTTTGCGGCCAGATTGGGAAACCATGATAATGGTTTGTATACAGAACCAGATGCCAATTCCAGCAACTCTTGGCAAAGCACGATGCGATCAAGTGGCTGCCTGGATGTGATTGGTGTGATAGTAGCCCGTGCGAGGCCTGCTGGATCATATCCATAGCATCCGCGCAACCCTGAAACTCATTGTGCAGTGGGTGCAATAGATGCCTTAGAGCCCGAACTGCCATCTCCACCCGGGAGCTTGTACGACCTTGTTCTTCACTGAGCTGCAACACCTCAGTATAAGACTTGCAAGCCCAAAGGCGCTCAATCTCAGCTTTCCTTTTTGCTGATCCATTTAAGTCGAAGAAAGTGATCTCTCTCTTCTCACCATCACCCTCTGGCTTGATGTAGAAGGTAATGTTCAAGAGCTGTTGAAACTTCTCAAACTCACTCTTCTGCAAAATGTCTGTGAATTTCTTCGCCACAGCACTCGTCAAGCGGGCAGCAAACTGCCCTCTGCAATCCTTGTAACTCATTTGGTTGATGGCCCCTGGCTTTTGCGCATCCCCGTGGCTCAACTTTGGACCCCAAAAAAAGAGTTGGCCGAAGCGCGCCGAAACCCGGGCACGGGACAACTTTGCCTTTGGTGTCTCTTCTTGAAACTTGTGGAAGTCCCGGACAAAGGCATTCCAGTTGCGCCGGTTGGAAGAATATGCGTACCTAGCATTGCCACCTCTGAGGAGGTTGCAGTTTTCTGCTATGTCACCTATGTCCAAAACTTTCTGCAGCACAAAGTACTTGCGGTTGCTACCTGTTGTGGTCTTCTTGAACTCGATTGGGCAAACATGAAAAGCCCTCAGGTCAGCATGTGCCAGCCTGGCATGGCCAGCATGTTCGACATCAACCAATACAGTTTGCTCTTGTGGAGGCTTGTGCGATGCACCTGCTCGATCAATCAAAATCTCCACCCTGCTCTTGACATGGTCAATGGCCTGTGGGTCAAGCCCGGATATGCTGAGCTCCATCTGGTGGGACCACTGTCCGGCAAAGGTCTCCTCCTTGTCGATGTGTGTCAACGAAATAGACACCCCAGGATGTTCAGAGCGCAGCTGATCAAGCTGCGCACCATTCTGGCCAATCACGGTTCCGATGGCGTAACCAGGCACCACAACACAGATTCCACTCGCCTCTGTGGCTGTGCTCGCTCTTGCACCAAAGTACAGTACTTATAGTTATATAGAACATATCCCCATGGAACCCAAGAAAACGCATGCGTTGCATGAACTCAATAGAATAGATTAAGACGGCAAGAAACATCACTTTCAAGAACTCTAATCTAGGAGGCCATTGTAAAGCAGTCTCCGGTTGCAAGACATATCCAATCTAGGGCACCCTGGTGGAACATAAAAAGGACAGTCTGGGGAACAGGTTTGCAAAAAGACTTCTGTTGCAACCCTTTTGAAGCTGCTTGATGGCCTGCAAAGACCTTTCCTTTGTTCACTGTGCACTCAGGCCCGGAAACATTATGATGTTAAATATTACGGCAGCAAGATGTAACAAGTGGTCAGACACACATCATCTTTTTCAACCCGGGCCTTTGCTGATGTTGCTTCATGTCCTCTCAGTTTGCCTCGTCCTTTTGACCCCGAGCCACCTTTGCCCTTTCCTTTATTGTAGGCCCCTTTTCCTTTGCGACCCTTCACCACATCTGCCAGTATGTTGTCACCTTGCTCTTCCACTGTGCGGAGGGAAGGAACAGTCTCCTGGGTCAAAGCACCAGTGGCAGTCTGTATGTCATCACCACCAAGACGGACTTTGCAATTTGGACAGAACCCAGCGCATTTGCTGCACACGTAGACCGTCCCGCGGTACTTCTCGCAGCTCGGCTGTCTGCAGGTCACTCTGTATTTGGATGGCCGCAAATCGCAGCTGAAACACCACTGAACCTCCAAGGAGGTGGTCGATGTGGCATCGTCCATGGCAAGGAAGTCAGCACTGCTTCACTGCATGGACTTGTGGGTCTTTCAATCGGTGGCCGTTTTTAATTCTTGAATTCGCTTTGCTGCTCCGCAAGGATATTCATACAGCCTTTGCAACAATGGCATGGTCTGGATCGCCTGCTCTAAATTTTATCTGCACTGAAATTATGTGCTCTTGCAAAATCCATGCAGCTGGGAGTCATAGCTCTTGAACCCCATCATTTGCAGCACATGATGCCAGTTTGAACTGCCCTCCCCTTTCAACTTTTTGCCAGCAGCTCGTATCGAAAAGCAGATCTCAATAAAACATCAAAAAGCCATCCTCTTCCATCTGGAACCAGCTGCTGTGCTTGGTTAAAACATCTTAAAACCCTATGGTTCGAACATCTTCAAACCCCATCCGCGAAGGTCTCCTCTTCCAGAGACGTCTCGTAGCGCTGCCGCAGCAAAGCCACCAGGCCTCAGCCAGTCGGCCACAGATGGCGTCAACATGGCGCTTTTTTGGGGAGTTTAACCTCCATTTTTGGAGGTGAATATCACCACAACTCAGATCAATACTTATATAACTTATAATATACTTACCTAATGTTACGTAAGTGTTACGTATAACTTATAACCACAATGGTTTTTATTTCAAAAGGGTAGATGAACCCCCAAGAGGCCACGGTCTCAATAGGTCACCAGGCTCTCGGGCGCAGCAAGGAACCGTAGAGATGTCCTAAGAGCCGCTCTCCAAGCTCCTCGCCTGGGTGAATAAAACCCTCCCAGCTTCGGTGATGAATGATGGGCCAAAAAAAGGATGCCTTTTTTGAGAAAAACTTGATCCATTCATAGAACTTGATATATATATATATATATCATATACAGTAGATATATAGATTGGATGATCTCACATCCACTGGTGGCACCTTCGGTGCCACCCAAATCGATACAGGCGTCACGGCCTGGCTTTTTTTGGGTTGGAAAACTATGGGAAAACTATGGGAAAACTATGGGAAAACATGGGAAAACTATGGGAAAACTATGGGAAAACTATGGGAAAACTATGGGAAAACCCTAAAAATCCGTGGTTTAAAAGTGTTTAAAACCTCACTATGCCGATTGAAATTGCCAAAAAAAGAGTGAAAAATATGTGGATAAATCACCAGGTTGGGGACTCAGGTAACTACACCATCCTCTCAGGTGTCCAAGGAGTCAGCCTGCAGCACGTTGCTGTTGGTATGAAAGGTACTCACTGTCATTCATGAAAATCACCTCAGCCAAAAATGAACATCCCATGATCACCGGAAGTCTCCACTTAGATTTCATTCCATCCCCATGAGCCCTAAACCGTTGATATGGATCACCACGACTCATCGATGTGGTCTTGATCTTTTCGGATGGGCGGGCTGATCATGAAATTTGGGATCTATTCAAAACTTTTGAAGATTGGATAATCACAAGTTACAAATCATATCATGCATTTCTTATCCATATGTTCTTTTAAGATGTCACCCCTCCATCCTGCCCTGCCCACCCTGTCCAGCCTGGGGACCCCAACAAGGATCATGGTCGCCAAGTCATCAGGCAACAACTCCATCAACGATAGGCTGAAGGGTGTGCTGCCGATGCCATGGTCCTGTGGCAACCGAAAAATGGCCGTTGATCTGGGGAAAAAATTAGAGAACATTAATAGAAAATCATGGGATTGTGGATTTTTAGCATGTTCAACTACACTCGTTGCTTCAGCCATTCTAAAGGAGTGTTTGGCAAGGATGCTATGGTTTGTGTACATGGATTTACCATGGATTTACCATCCATATGATGTTCTTCGTGATCATTTTTCAGCAACGGATGGGGGATATATAACCTACCAAATAACCTACGATCGGATCATCGACAGAAATATGCCAAGTCATAGCATCCAAGTGTGTGCCCGGAGGCAATCCTGCAGCCAGGATAGTCTGGAGCACAAGGATGTGTCCTGCAAAATTTATGTACATAGCAAAGCGATAGCAAATTCAGAAAAGCGATCAAAGGGCTGATCTGAAAATTGAAAGTCTGACAGCAACCCGCATGAACCAATCAAAGTACGTAGGATCTCAAGCACAGTTTTGCTCATTAATGATACCTGTAATGCTTTGAATGGATATGTGTTTGATCCAAAAGGGAAACTCGTCATCACGGGTCTTCCAAGTTGGCAAAGAATCCTTATCTTCCTTGTCTTCCTCATCTTCCTCATCTTCATCCTCTGCAACTTCCTTAGCAATTGCTTTTTGAGCTTTGGCAGCATCAAACAACTTTCACAGCAATGGCTCCAGCAGTTCTGAAGCCACGAGTTTCCCTACCATTCGGACCATTCGGATTTCTGGCAGTCGCAATGTGTGTTCCAAGTCGATAACAAGACATCTAGGAGGCAGGCATCACCTTCATCGTCACCTGACCATAACAGGTCTGCACTGAACCATGCAGGGCTACCTAGGGCTACGCAGGGCTGATTTCATCCAACATCTGTATCGATTTGGCACCTTCATGCCTTCCTTGCTGTTCCAAGACAGCACTGACCTCGTGAAGCACAACAAAATAGCGACATGGGAACATGTGGTCCAAGTTCTCATAGTTGCCTGCAATTCTGAATCTTATCTGCATTCTAGTTTTATCTATGCAATGCATCGTCACAATTTTCCAAGGCAGGTCATGTCAGTTGATCCCCCGACATCCGCTGCCGAGTCGCCACATCTGCAGGCGTGACCAGTAGGTCGTCGCAGTCTCGGGACTGATCCAAGAAGCCGCCGTTCATCAGCCACTGGGTGTTGCCCTTGGCTCCACTCGGCTGATGAAATCTGTCTTAGATGCTGGGAGAATCTCAGAGAGTTGCAAGACTTTCACACTATTTTTATGATATTTCTGTAATATATGTCTAGATATTTCCGCAAAGTTCTGTCGGTGTTTCATGACAATTTTACTATGAGCTGGCTGCCAGCTATGCATGTTTCCAGGAATCAGATCGCACCTGTAAGCCGTAGCAGTTCATGATTTCCTCCGTGGGCATGATCTCACGTTCCGCATGGAAAACCAAATGATCACCACCTGGTGGATCCAGATGAGAGAAAGTCCCCAAACCACACACCTGGTGAACATGGAATATCATATGATCTTGCAAGTATTCAACATCTGATGAAGTCATATTGCCAAACACTTATATATATATATACACATATCTTGTTATATAATGTGTTTAAGTTGTGTATAACTAAAAGAAACAACGCTACGTACGTGTGAAAAAAGTGTCTTTGCAAAACAACAACAAAAAAAACGGTTCAGCTCTAGACCTTAAAATGTTTAATGCGACACTATGACAAACTACTGCGTCTCGACATAAACATTCAGCCCCTGGGCTACTGATCCACCAGCCAGGAGTTGACAGCTACAGTTCCAATTGGCCCAGGCACAATCTCTCATCCGCGTGTGCGGCACTCCAGAATGGTTCAAGGCCTTGGTATCTGAAAATGGGCTATCACCCCCACAATTTCAATATATGTTCCTTGGGGAAATGATCAAGATGTTCAAGCAGTGGATGGAATTGATGGAATTGATGGATTTTTTCCCAACATGTAGAGACAAACACATATCGCAAGCTATCTGGACCTCCTTGACGGCGATCCCAAACTTGTAGATGAAACCAATGGCTGCTCAAAAATGCCCCATTCATACCAATTCAATCCAATGCGCAGCAATGGGCCCCCCAATAAAAAGTATCAAATCTTCTTACCTAAACCATCCAAAAGTCTCCAATTCTGGTTATTTCAAGTGGCTTAACTCACCAAAATTCTGCCATCCCAGGTCAATCAGGGTCAATCAGCTCACACTGAAAACCCCCCCGTTGGTCAAGGGACATCCGCAAAGGGCGCCAGGATGACAGCCTTCAGGCTGGAATCGAAGGCGCGGCTGGCAACCACCGAGGCGGCCCAGCGAAGCCTGGATGGTGATTATCCCCTTAGAATCCCATTGGAATGTACCCGGCCTGGTAAACATACCAGAGAAGCTATGGAAAATCACCCTTTTTATAGCTGGGTAAATCAACTATTTCGACTGGGCCATTTTCAATAGCTATGTGAAAAATTACCAGAGGCTATGATTTTTCTGATGGAAATATCATCATTGGATGGAGAAAGTTGCTGAAATCCCCTGAAAATTCCACTGGTGAATCCTTGTTGCTAGTATATGCTAGTATTATTGACATGTTTTGAGACTGACAGATATCCCAACATCGGATGGTAAAATAGGCTTTTCCATGGTTTTCCCCAATATTTCATAGAATTTTGATTGAAAACTCCTGGGAAAACCCCCGAAAAAGGCGCCACACAGACGTTCCATCTGGAACATTTTCCGGTGGATCTGAGGCGTGGGCTGTTCCAGTGATGGCGACTTGGGAAAAATCTCCGTATGTTGCTGGCACCACTGCTGCATAGCGCTCAGGTCCTGGTCGAATTGCTGAAGCCAGAAATCAACCCTCGATTCTCAGTGACAAAAGGTCAATCATGTTTAATAATATTTGATAGTTATGAATGGGTTATTCATGGTTAATAAATGTTAATAATGGTTCTTAATGGGTCAATACTTCCATGGCGTTTTTGGGGCCGAAGCACCTTGTCATTGGCGATGTGAGAAGCTTCCAGCAGGGCATCCACTGAGGTGCCACGTAAAAATCGCTTCTCCTGAAGCGAAACAGCGGAAGCAGAGCCAAGCTCCATATACCCGGCCTGGTAAACATACCAGAGAAGCCATGGAAAATCACCATTTTATAGCGAAAATCATCTATTTAACTATGGCTAATTTTCCATAGCTATGTGAAAAATTACCAGAGGCTAGTTGGGATCTAAACCCCTATGGTGCTATGGTACTGGAACTGCTTTCCCACCCCGGTCTCCAAGCCTCGACAGAGTTTGATGAATCTGATATTCAAACATTTTAACAAAGGCTTGGAATTTGAAGATTTACTTGGGGGGTGTTCAATATTTCAGTATCCAATACTTCCAATACATCCAATATTTCAGTGCTTTCCGAGCGCCTCGGCCCCCGAGGAAGTTGCGATCCTCAGGGGTGTACCACAATGGCAGAGTCGGAAAGGATCGCGGCAAAGTTCCTGCAGAGATCCCACCACCCATAGCAGCCATCATAGCTTTACCACTAGTGATCAATGAGCTTGGTTGTTCATAACTATTTGGCAGTGGGTCAAAACCTTGTACCCCTTCTGTTCACATCAAAATAGCTGGGATTTATGGATGTTCATCCCTCTAAAAATGGTATTAATAGGTATTGATTCATAGCCATTTATAGCCATTAATATGCAATAATAACCATTGATGTTGAGAATCGTCATTTTGCTGATGTGTAAAATTTTAACCATTAAATAATATTAAATAACCTTTAGCGTCAATAAGCATAAATTATTCATCACTGACCATCTGTTCAAGAAGGTCCCATGAGTGCAGGCCCAGGCGCGCAGGTATGGCCACCAACCTGGGGATGACGAGATGACGGCAATGGATTGCAATGGGGAAATGGAGATGATCACGGATTGTGATTACTAAAATGACTGCAATGATTGTTCATTGTTCATGGTTGATTGATGATGTTGATGTTGATGTTGATGTTGATGATGATGATGATGATGATGATGCTGGTGGTGGTGGTGGTGGTGGTGGTGGTGGTGATGGTGATGGTGATGGTGATGGTGATGGTGATGATCTCTCTGTTGCTATTATGGCTTTCGCCTTGTGACGTTACAAAAAAAGTTGCTTTCCATGGTCAAACGTTGCTTGAACAGTTCGCAGTTCCGCCCGACCAATCCCCTCCACGTTCAGTCCCAGGAACTTGACCTTGTGCCCTTCACCCAGACCTGTGGGGATCGAACATCAGTACCGCGGGCGGATCACTACAATATGTATACAATTATATTATAAGGTATCTAAGGTGCATAATGTAGCTATATAATTTATATCTAATGCAATGTATGAATGTATGAATGTATGAATGTATGTATATTTGTAATATACGATACGTGATAAGTAAGTACAACTCTCTGCAGCTCTCGGAGATCCAGAAAAAGGCCGTGGTGTTCGTCGTGTTCGTCGCCTCCTGCAACAGCTGCAGCATCAGCTTCTGCTGCTCCTTAGGTCCGAGGCTCTGATGCAGCTGCACTATGAGAACAGCTTGGAAGTGGAACTGGCACATAAACATAAATATAATAAATAATATAATTACATATTATACACATAAACATCCCGCCGGACCGGAAACCGTTCCCCATAAAACGCATGTTTTTTTAAAAAAAATGTGATTTTACCACAGTGCCGTGCTGATTTGATGATTGGAAATCCTGGAAAAACTTGGGGCGCGTTTTTTGGCTTTTCAGCGTCATCGCTGCAACGCATGCGTAGCAACATGTCACGTAGTCAGCGATCCCAGAGATCTTAGCAGCGTAGCAACATGTAACGTCGTAAACGATCCCAGAGATCTTAGCAGCATGGCAATATATCATGTACGAAGTACAAGGAACGTTAACATGCCCCCCCACCCCACCCCAACCCACACTAGAGACCTCAGCAGCGTAGCAACATGTCACGTAGTAAACGATCCCAGAGATCTTAGCAGCATGGCAATATATCATGTACGAAGTAAAAGGAACGTTAACATGCCCCCCCACCCCACCCCATCCCACCCCAACCCACAATCGCGATATTCAAAAACGTGCGTTTTACGGGAACGGTTTTCGGTCCGCAGGCATAAACATACATATACAGCTACAGCTACATATATATATATATGCAGTACATATATATATATATTTATATATATATATATATACGTTGTATATGATGTGGGTAACCATGGACATGATTAACCTTGCGAATAAGTCCTTCTGCTTTCGTACCGTACAAATCACAAATGGAGATCGATCAAGCCATCCAAATCTACTGCGCATCGTGGCGTGTTTCTATTGGTCACCAGAATCCAAGACATGGAACAGCAACCTTGGGGGTTCCAACTAAAGAGCTACAAATCTTCATACGATCTGACTTTCAATCCATATGTTGCTGCGACAACGGGGTTCCTCCGCAACCAAGCAACGTCCATGATGAAGTCTGCATCTTTGTCCTAGGTCAGCTGCAATGCATATCGTATCGATCTCTACCAATTGTAGTTACAACCTGTGCAACCGCTACGCACTTCAGGGCCACACAGCAATTTTCAATCTATCCTTGTACTGAAACACTCACGCAAGTTAGATGTATTCTGGATAGTTCTCTGTTCTAGGTGTCATCTCTTTCCAGACATCGTGATTCCAGAGGGAACCAACAACTCAAACTGTGCTACTTATGGGTCCATTTTTTTGCGATGAAATGGAGCAAAAGGGACGTTTTTTTTCATTTTCTGATCCGCAACAAATTCTGCAACATCAAACACACACTGACCTGCGGAGATATCTTGGTCTCTGGCCCCAGGAACTGTCAACGGCCTGTGACGGAGATCGACTGCCATTTTTGCTTTCTTCGAGTTGAGTCTCCCCGTCTCCGCTAGCCCACGGTCCCGCAGCCTGATGCATCCAGCCAACGGGAGGTGCAACCTGAAAACTCCACGGCGGCTGGGAAACTTTGCAGGTTCCAAGATTCCTGATTTTAAGATACACATTATATATTGTATGTATGTATGTATGTATGTATGTATGTATGTATGTATGTATGTATGTATGTATGTATGTATGTATGTATGTATGTATGTATGTATGTATGTATGTATGTATGTATGTATGTATGTATGTATGTATGTATGTATGTATGTATGTATGTATGTATGTATGTATGTATGTATGTATGTATGTATGTATGTATGTATGTATGTATGTATGTATGTATGTATGTATGTATGTATGTATGTATGTATGTATGTATGTATGTATGTGTATGTATGTATGTGTGTGTGTGTGTATGTATATGTGTATGTATATGTGTATGTGTATGTGTATGTGTATGTGTGTATATATATATATTGATGTATTGATATATTATGATATATTGATGTATTGACATCATGTCAAGTGGAACATCAAACCAAGTTATGACGCACATTAATTGGCCATGCCGGTAGTCCGAGTCTCTCGGCTATCCTTGGTGACAATCATCCAGGCTGGCCCTGCTGATGGTGAAAGAGATGCTAATCCCATCACGTATATAATATGCGTATATTTATCTATATTCATTTATATCTATATATATATATATATCTGTTTATTTCTGGTGTATTGAAGGGTTGGGAGGTGCATAACGTCGCATTGTGAGCTCCCCCGTTGGGTGAAGGGCTCGCTCAAGTTCACATGGATCTTTTTTCTGCTCTGCCAGGGTTTGTCCCGAGCACAAGAGGGGTAATGACAACTTGGCTGCGGGCTATGTGAGAAATAGCAAAGCAATTAGAGTGTAGTGGCTGCATGGGTCTTCGGGAAATTCATGTCAGATGCATGGGCATGACATTTTTGATGACGCACAAAAACCACCAAAAACCATCAAAAACCCCTGTGGCTTCGTGCAAAAAAATCGAACGCAGCGAAGCCTGTGGCTTCGACGGCTGTCACAACTATGCAGCTGATTTTCGCCTTGTCATTGCCCCCAGGCCCGCAATTTCAAAAATCTATCGATGCACCCCTCTCTATAGGAAGTGTCTGACAGGGAAATAAAACAGCAAAAAAGAAGAGCAAGCGAGTTGGGCTGAGATATGTCGTATGCTGAGTTTGGACACATCATTGACCATATCATTCATTCTTTATCTCACATCGATTTCTGACAAGACACAACCTTGTGGCTCTTCAGTTTCAACAACTGCATTTGTTCCTCTTTGGTATTTGATCTCTATCATTCTGCAGGGTTGAAGAGCCACAAAATCTCGCTATTGACGACTCCACGAGAGCTTTTGAACTGACGTGGGGAGACCGCAGCACTAAAAAATTGAAAAGTGGGCCGAATCCAGCCCGTCGAACCGAAGCGCAAAAATGCACAAGATTGCCTCATCGCGATTATGCAACTACATGGCCAAGACATCAACACACACACACACAGACTTAACCATTGATAAAACGGGGATGATAGGCTGATGGTGATTTGACCCTTAAAGGTTGCAAACCAATTCTTTGCGCACTTTGGCTCAGCATTGCGGGTGAGTGCCATAGCTGGAGTCAACTGACAAAATTGTCGCTGACTTTGCCAGGCCAAGGCTTAGAACCCGAGGGTCGCTCATGTGAAGGGTCTTCCCAATGTCGGAAGCAGGGGTCGAACTTGGAGAAACCCTGAAAGAAAAATATCGTAAACGGTGCCCTTGTCTAAAATGAAAAATGGTTTTGTGAAACAGGAAAAATCGTCGAACTGATGTTTCAACTTAAAACCAACCCACCGTAACTTGGCCCTCTAGTAATTTCACATAGCTATGGAAAATTGCCTAGTCAGTTCCATGATATAACGATGTCTGCCGAAGATTGAAATGGTGATGTTCCATAGCTACATTAAAGTACCAGAGGGTACCTTGGATGTCCAGGCACTGTGTTTTCCATGCTTCGAAACTCGACCCAGTTTCCGCATTCAGAAGCACAAAACCTTGAGGACCATCTTGGCCTAATCCTGGCGGCCAAGAGATGTGGCTTATGGGCCGCCTGGTCATCCCAGCATCATGAAGTGGAACGCTGACAAAATTTGGCATGTGAATAATGATAATAACAATAACAATAAGAATGATAAGAATAAAAAATATTGACCCGTATTACATGATATAACCCCTTTTGATTAACGGGGGCAATGGCAACAGATGGTAACAATACGGCAACAGTGGCGCGTCCTCATCGGAGTCTGGTGGGGAGCAGGCCCTGGCTTTGCCCGACTTGGTGTCCAGGAGTTCCCAGCCTAGCACCATTGGCTCCATTGGTTCCATTGGTTTGCCCCGGCTTTACGGCACCCCATACTTGGCCAGGCTTCAATACCAGACTTATCAATACTTATCATGTTTTTGTTGGAAAACATGTGTTTTTTCACATGTCGAAGTGCCAAGTGACTGCCGTCCTCCCGTTGTCGCTTTTGAAAGCGGCCCTGCGGCTTGGCATTTGCATTTCCATTCCCGTTTCCATAGCCACTGGCTCCAAGGGTGGCCGGCTTCTCTCGGGCCTCCCTTTGAATCAAGCCAGAGTGGTCGACCAATGCATACACGTGGGAACCGATATCTAGCTTCACCTGTCGAAGATGGGTTGATGGGAGACCGGGTTGAGTACCTGAGATAGCCTGTTTCCCAAGATGGTTTTGTGGTCAATAACCCAACGGAAACCAATTAAAAATAGTTGAGTAGATTCACAAAGAATACCATCAACACGTGTGGTAAGCGCGCGAAATGGCTACTTATATGACATGACAAGACCAGGTTGAAATTCCCAGCCATCCACACCTCATATGGGGCTCCTTGGAACTGCGGTGGCCAATCCTTTTCCTTAGTCGCAATCGATGCTCTGTTTCGATTCCAAATGGCTCAGTAGTCGGGGACCCACAAATCTATCAATTTGGTCTAGATTTGAATGGCCATCAATTCCAGGTATCAATTGTATTCAATAGTATCATAGGTATCTCGCTGTCAAATGCTGTCAACACCCCGGCTTTTTTGCTCACCAGCCAATACACCAAGCTTCTTTGTACCAGAGACCTACTACTACGCCTTCTTCCCAAGTAGTGAGATTTCCAGGCGCTTCGACCCGACAAAGAACTCGGTCGCCTTCCAAAAATCGCAAGGGCGCATTGACGATCTGTCCTGACAACGCAGGACCGGAGCTTCTCCAATCAGTTGGGGATTCAATGATTCAAAATATGTACATAGTAATGTTCATTATTGTTGCTGTTACTATTATTGTTAGTGTTATTATTACGTAGTAGTCTTATTATTGCCACTTTTCAGTCTTGTGAATACCTTACATATCTACAGTTAGCTATCAGTTGTCTACTTGAACTGCTTGACTTCTCCGCAAAGCGAGCCAATCCCTGAGTTTTCAAACATGGTAAAGAACTGTACTGCAAGTGTGAACTATTGACCTTCTGGCTGATTTAGTATGGCACGTATCAAAAGATTCAAAAGAGGTGCCGCTGTGCGACCTGTCCTGTGCAAGCGCCAGTTTTCTTGACCTTCAAACAACAAGCTCCAGAGCCCTCGGCCTCAGTTGATGCGGTTGGGGTTTTCTGGGGTCCCCCGGATGTTTTCTTCGCTGACCCCTTCCCATCGTCGCTGCAAGGCACTAAGTCCGGGCAGATCGTGAAGATTGCCGGGGCCAGGGCTAAGAGCACAGCAGGATTTGGAGGTTTGACTGAATGTTGTAGTGAGACATTCTCATAGTCGGATGCCCAGTTCTTAGTATGTCAAAAAAGATCAGCACCTCCAGGCATGCTACTTTTGGGGCCGCTTTTCTTAAACGCATCTGCAGATATCTGCAGATATCTGCCCCTACTATCCCATACGTATTGTTTGAAATTCCTTGGACGAATCAAACAGCAGGAAATCCGCACTCAACCTCAAAAAATCGCAAAAAAACATCGCCAAGCAGCAAAAGGAGTCATTTTGAAACCATCGCGCTGGCAGACGACTTGGGGGTCCTTCTGAATGACCATTGGGCAGATTCTGGACATCTCTTCGAATCCAGTGTACGGGTTCAGTATCATCCTTGGGCGCTCAGTGCACTCAACTGACAGTGGAACGAACATCGACTCCCCGTGCTTGGCAAAGGACCTCGAACTTTCATGTTCAAATGGGTGTGGGTCAAAATTGAGAGACCATGAGAGACCAAAAAAAAGTTCCGACAAATATGTGGTTTTTTCCAGCCTCTTAATCCTCCACCCTGTCGCTCTGCCAACTTCGGCGTTGCGCCAAGTCGCAAGAGCAAAGCAGAAGCACCGTTCTTCCGGCCACAAACATCTGCGCCCATCTCCAGGTACCTCAGCGCCGTCAGCGGGTTGGTGAACCATTGGAAATCCTACTAGGTCCTACTGAGCCAGTGATGATCAATGAATGGTAAAATATGTAAAATGCTGTGTCTCGTAGTCGGTCAATCAACTTCAACCCGCCATCTGCAAAAACCGTAAACCAGCACATCATCGAACCACACTTTAGACCGCCAAACCCCACATCTTGCAGCCAAGATACTGCCCCACAACATTGCTCTTGAGGGATGTTTTCGCCTCACAGCATCCGTGTGTTTTTGGCATCTGCCCAACAGCACCCCTTTCCCCATCCAGATCCATCGTATGCATCTAGGGCACATCATACGCACATTGCTCGCAATATTTGAGAAACATCTCAGAGGTCCAGGCAGCAGTAACCTTCTCCTCCGCGGCGAAAATGCTCCAAATCGACCCAATTTTTGCATGAAGCCAAAGTTTCATCCGGAAAATATGGGATAACTAGGATTCACCGATTTCAATGGGTGTTTTTTTCAGTTCAGCTTCCAACGCCCGGCTGCTGTCCTTTCCGAGTCGCTTCTCTAGATCGCCCAAAACCTCACCAGAAATCGTGGAGAAATGGGATATTTTATGGGATATAGTGCGATATTTTAAGCGGGATATGATATATGTATATTAATGAATATTACTATACATCTTGTATATATTATGTACATATATCACCAGCTATGTGTGAATTTCCAGCACATCTTCAAGTTCCATCAACATGATCGCCTGTTTCTGAACATCTTCCGAGTAGTGCTGTCGTAACCAGCCGCAAATGCCTCGTGCAAACGTGCGCTGACTAGCCCTGAAATTGACCATTTGGTGGTATCAAAGCCACATCATTTTCGGACAAAGCCACATCAACATCTCAGAACTCACGTCCAAAGACACTTAAAAAAAAACACTGCCGAATGCAACTGCCGCCAGCCCGCCTGCGATTTCATCTTTCCCCAGCGGCTGATTTGGGCAGTTGATCAATGCGCGCATCGAGGCCATGTGAGCCTCCCGGCCGATCTTCTGAAGGTCGCAGGGAAAAGCTCCAGTTGCAGTCCCAATCTTGGCTGCCTTTTTTCAAACATCTAAAAACTCACAGTAAATTCAATATCTATTCCATCAGGAATCAGGGCTCGTATCTATTCTGGTGGGGGTTCCAAATTGAACCACCAAAAAAAAAAATTGGGCAAAATTTCTTCACCCCTGCCCCCTGCCATGCAGCACCTTCAAGGCTTCCTCCTCAGGCTCCTCTTGGCTAAGGCTCAGGATGGCTTCCAAGGCGGTCTCATTATCCGAGTCTTTGGCCTGATCATCCCATGTCGTCCCTGGAGCATTGGCATTGGCAAAATGAAGACAGTGGATATTTTTCATGGGCCAACATTAACCAACCAGAAAGACATGATAAATTTTGCGGTACCTAAAAATGTGGATATAAGCAACAATTCTTGGATATCATTATGGGATACCCTCTGGTAATTTAACATAGCTATTGAAAATGACCATTTATAGTGGATTTTCCCATTGAAAATGGTGATTTTCCGTAGCTATATTAGTTTACCAGAGGGTATATCTTGCGGAAGATCTAGCCAACTTGATGTGATATTGGGGTTTGGTACCTGAAAATCGTGTAAATTCACTCTCTCAAAATGGCAATCCTCCTACGACATTGCCCCAGCAAGGTGCCTTCGGGTCCGCTCCATGCGTGAGTAAGGCACTGATCACAAAAAAGAGCCTTGGTGTGACTGGAATCGCCTCCTGAGTCGCTACATGAGAAAATCCAGAAACTTTTTTTGGGGTTTTTGTTACTATGGGGGTTTTTACCAGGCAGAGCCGAAAAAATGTTCCCAGCATTTCCAACCACATCCCATCGCCCAGCAGCTGTTGTGGCTCGGTGGCCTCGTTTAAGCAGGCGTAGTGCAACGCTGGCATGCCCCCATCAGAATTCTCCGAATGCTCCGAATGGCTCCAGTCAATACCGCCTGACCTGGGGCAT